GCAGAAAATAATCCAATTCGGTATTCCAACTGCGCATGTGCACATCAAAATTTGGCGATATTTCTTTCGGAATAGACATTTCATTGTATGCGTGCAAAGTATAGCGGGGTACCAGCAAAATTGAAGAGATCGTTGTGTTCTGTAGTAAACATTTATTAAAAAAATTTGGACAGCGAGGTGTTTTTGAGGTGTCTGAAGAATCACACAGAATGCTGATTCAGTTACCACGTCCCCCATAGCCTTGTGTGCATTTATCTGCTGCGTTTATCCTGGAAAAAATTTGTCAAATCTTGTTCTGCACCAGACTATTTTGGAATACCGAACTGGCTTATTGTCACATTGGAACAAAAACGAGGTTGTACGTGCAAAACAAATTTATACATGTACCCTTTCACGTTGATACATGTACCCGGTAGTTTAAAGGGAATGTACATCATTGGCTTTTGCTGTAATTTTCAGAAATGAACTACATTGTATTTGAGGGGTTAGTATCACAGATCAAATATTGTTACACTGACTTGTTTGAAATTTTGTGTTCGAAAATGCTGGAAAACAAAGAAAAACAAAAATTTGAACTCAAATTCAACCCAAATGTGCCACAACAAAGATTAACGCATTGCAGTACCTCCAAATGTGAAGGTGAACTTACATGTACATACCAGTATGTGCATTGACCTCAGAATTGGGGTCACCTCTATTTGTTTATGTCTCATTGCAGTAGAGATTAAGTGATTAGCTGAATTAAATAGGTGACTGTCATATGTCACAATAGCCTTAATTGAGGGCAAGGGTGGACCTTTTTAATGTAATTATGCGTACTGGAATCACCCACAGCGACATTAGGCCGTTGGTGCTGGTATTCTGAGCATGCCACTACAGTAATTCACTTACACGTTTAAGCCAGCTTGGGTGAGTAATCCCTGCTCATTTGCATGCTATTTATAGCATTCCAGGAGCATATTATTTATAGTATTCAAGGAGCATTATATTTATAGCATTTTACATTAGGAGAAACAGAAAAACATTGCAATATCTTGGTGACAATAATATGTAGCTGTCCCTTACCGTTAGTCAATATATTACGCAGCTTTATGAGTTGTGTAAATTGGCTAGCCTGGCTACAAAATAAGCTGTCTGTTCCACAATACCCCCCCCCTTTTATCCACTTGTACGTGTGGAGAAGTCGTGTAGCAAACATTTGACAGACTAGCAACCGACAGATGCCGGTTGCCTGACAGACAACTAAAATATTGCTTCTTGTGGGATATTGGTTGGGGCCAGTGGTTTCTGTTTTAAAAGAAACTGTAATTTGAAGACTTTAGAATTTACACTTTAGAATTAAAATTAATGCTATGTGTACATGTTTAATGGATTTTTTTCTTCAGTTTACAAACATGATTTATAATCGGTTGTGGTATTAAGAAAAAATGTTAAAGAGAAAATCTTGTTCAGCAATAAGTTGATGTTTGATGATCTACAGTGTAAACACATATTAACCCTAACCCCTTCAGCACTTTTATTAGAAAGTATCCTGAATCCGCAAAAATCCACCAATTTTGTCAAGCAAAAAAAATGTTGGTGTCCTGAGTCCATCAGAATCCACCAGTGAGTCCATCAGAATCCACCAGTGAGTCCATCAGAATCCACCAGTGTAGTACATATACCGGTACCGGTACCTCGTACACACCACACATATAGCCAACTGTTCAGATCCTGAATCCATTACAGTCCCCCAACTGCTTAATATGGAGGTATCCTGAATCGATCAAAATCCTGCAGTACCGCTAGGCTTACTGTTTTGAATCCATCAAAATCCCCCAACATTTTCAATATGGAGGTATCCTGAATCCGCCGAAATCCTCCCAAACAGGGGTGTAGATTTTGATGGATTCAGGTACGTTAGGGTTAAAGGTAAAATGCAAAATCCTTTTTTACCATCTGTTACCAGAAAAATTTGATTGAACAGAAAAATTTGAAATTTTGTTAGCAATTTCACTACGTGGGTGATGGCATTTCTGGAGGTACCAGTACGCACTGCATTTGTGGATACACTCAAGATAGTAGAAGTAAATTTCGAAAAAATTGTAGGATTGAGGAATGTAAAGCCCAGTAAGTAATACCTGCTTGTATGCCTTCAGATTATTGAAGTCCAGATAATCTCCTAATTGTAACTACCTAAGCAGAATGGTTTCCATCAAAAATGTTGGAAAACAATTTCATAAAGCATTACGATCAATCGTGACCAAATTTGCAAAACAAAAATGTCATGATACTAACGATTCACAATACAGTATGCCGTCGAGCATTTGCCTCAGAGATGCCACTTTTTTAATTTCACGGACGACATCCTGCATACATCCTGCAGTTATTTCCCTATCCCGTATTGATTACGTGCGGTATACCACACAGACACAAAAGCATTTGGAAGCCTTGTCAATAAAACCATTGGTATTCTCACAAACACGCACAAATATCAAATCTTAAATCATGCTTGCTACCGGAACATGTAAAAGAAAAAAAAAATTGCCAGGAAATCTCAAGCGACGGTCGGTCGTTTTAACCAAAAAGTGGTTTGGTTGGTAGTGGTTCTTGGCTATATCAAGTACCGTATCAATACTGTAATTGAGACTTTTTGATGACATGGATAGTGAAGTAATTATGTATTTTGCTATTTGCAACCAGTGGAAAACAACAGAACCATGGTTTACATACGGTTATGAATGCTAATATGCCCCCTCCTATTTCCTTGTTGACTCTAAATTCAAGTGCTGCAAGTGTTGAAATTTTAAACTCTCGTCGCATTCAATAAATTAGGGATCCTGTCCTGATATACATGCAGAAACAAAACTCGGTCTTATAATTCACAATGTACATTATGTAGGTACGGTACATGATGTGCCTGTATTGGTACAATTAAGATGTTTTCCTGTCCGTGCTCGGATACTACACTCCACGTATGCGAAGTAGCAATGGAAGGAAAGTGCAGGCGCCGGGCTTTGATGGCTGTTTGCCCTAGGGCCAATTTCATGCATGCATAGGCTTCTGTTTTACAACATGGACCCCTCTCCCCTACATGACTGTACCACTACTGGAAAGTCCGTCTGAGTATAAAAGCATTGCCAGACCTGCACACATATTATTACCATACATGTATGCACTACAGGTAGGCCTACTGTGTTGCCTGAGGAGTGTACATGGCAAGGTTTTTTTTTTTAGGTACAATTTGATAAGTCTTCTTGTGTATCAACAACAAAATGATAACGATGTTTCAATCATCGTTGATGATTTTGCAGGAAAAAAAATATACTTTTTAAATAAGTACCATAAATAATTACAAGTACCAATGAAAATTCTTGCGAACTTTAAATTGTATTCTGACATTAAAGTTATTTTAGGGTAGATTACAGACATTGTTTTTTTTATTTACAACATACAGCACGTATTTTGGCAATTGTTTAGAATGAGGAATATTGCAATGTTTTACTCGGGTGACCTGAAATTGGTTATCTTTTAAATACCATTCCAGTTGTACATGTACAAATGTACATTGCAAGTGAGCACGATACATGTAAGCACATGTTGGAATTTAGATGAACTGTAAAAATTGGCTTGTAACAAAATCTTAGAAAGACACTAGTTTTGCATGCATGCAGAAAACCAATAGATTTTGAAATATATGTACAAGTGGGTTTTCCCCAGATCCTTGGATGATAGGGGAAAACCAGGACATTTCGTCAACACTTCATGTGGGGGGTCTTCAATGAAAAACAATTGTGTTACATCCATGGTTACATGTGTGTGCCAAGAAATGTCTGGGGAACAACCAGGACATGGCAGCTGAACAGCTTGGGATTTTTCCAACCGACGTCCTCTTTAGAAACATGATCCCATATTTCCAAGTAAACAACAGCACATTGTGTAATTTTACACATTCATGGAATTATCCAAAGATACCGACTTTTGGCACAATTTCTATCAAAATCTTCATGAAAAACACTAACTAACCCTGCTGAATCCAACAGGATCCAACTATATCATAAACCTGTTGAAGCCTGTTGGATTGAGCAGTAAACCCCTGGTACAAATTTACACATACAGATTCAGAGTGGGATTCTGTTTACTGATAAATAATGCCAAGTTGCACTCTGTTGGATCCAGCAGACAATAAAAATTAGGCACAGTTGGATTCTGTTGGATTGAGCAGGAAGTAACCGTTGGACACTGTTGGATTTAGCAGGGTAGTCCTGAGGAACCCTTAGGGTGTTAGGGTTAGGGCACACTATGCGGGATATTATAGGAAGGGGATATACACGTACATGTATAAAGACAGTAGAAACATAGAAGCAAGGAAAATATCAGGTAGCCCTGGAAAAGACACCCTAAGAAAAGACAGAAAAAGATGTACATTGTGTATTCCACATGAGAAATCTTGGAATGTGCCGGGAAAGGAGGAGCGGTGTTTTATTTTCCTGAATTGAGATACATGTACAAAGGCAGGGTCTGTGGCACTAATCAGATGTAGACGGTCCCTGAGTGTCAGGGAGGTTGGATTTTACGGCAGCCATTGTTAAATTCTCAAGACAGGAAATATTTGCTTCAGTGGCTTGGGGGGAAGAGGGGGGGGGGGGGTAGTACAGACGCTGTCAGTCTTGTGTGTGTTACCTGGGTGATGTGTAAATTAAAGGTGCTCATTGGTTTGAGTGATACATGCACTGTATGTGAAATGTTTCGATATAAATTTGGGATTCATGCAATTAACACATTTCATGTTTTGTGTTCGCTCGTATGACACTGTTTCGTGTTCGTGATTGACCTGTGATGAACTCGACCACATCATTGCCAAGATACTTGCCACGAACTCACAAATTTGTGTTGGCATTCGATTCATTCCTTAAGTGTTCATGTGTGCTGTATTTGTGCAGAAAATGCTAAGAAAATGTGTTCAATAACGACGTTTTAAAAACTTTTACCTTTATTGTTTTTGTTGTTGTCATGCACAGATCCATAAGATTCCTGTGGAGGACTGCTCCGCTCACACAACCTGTGAGGATTGCCTGGGTGTTGGCAACGGTGTAGGAGATCCCTACTGTGGCTGGTGTTCACTCCAAAAGAAGTAAATATGACACATAAACCAAACCCGGGAACGCTAGCAATTCTACCATTAAAACCCCCAGCAAATGGCAAGAGCATTGTGCTAGCTATTGTTCAGATAATCCGTCACTGGGAAGTTGCTTTGTACAATAGCATACACAATGGTTTCTCCATTGAAGGGGGCCTCGAGAGTATACAGCGACCACGTGCCCAGATTTGTCTATACTCTGTCTATTCTCACCAGAAACTTGTGTTGAAACCTGCACTGAGACTACATGTAATCAAATAGTACCGTTTTGTTGAATCAAAGTATAGGTACATGTAGCTAGATGTTAAATAGTTGAAAACCATAAACAAAAACCGGGAAGTGTATACCCTTTTCACAGGTTTGCAACATTGCTACTGTTGCTAGCATCGTGACTTTGGGTGTGATCCCTGGCTACATGGCATATACGGGTTAATGGCTTCTGACTAGCGCCCCTTGAACAAAGACATTGACAAATCGGGGGTACCACCAACACGGGGCTGGATAGCTCAGTTGGTAGAGCACCGGAACGGCAATCAGGAGGTTGCAGGTTCAAACCCCGCTCTAATCAATTTCTAGTCAGTTTCCATTTGTGGTTTATTTGAAAGTTTATACTCATTAAAGAAAATGCAAATATACCTTTTAAAACACATTCAGCTCATGTAAGCACACCTCCCCAAACACCTCAATACACACTTATTTTATTGAACCAAATGTAACCAGAATCCAGTGTCTGTCATCATTGATAATGTCACAGAGCTCTTACTGTTCACGATGAAACTGGATATGTCTCTGAATAGAGCGTGGAAGTTGATCTCAAATACGGCACATCCGGGCACCGTGTGTAGGATCTACAACGTGTGCAACGCCCAATCTTTTGCAAATGCAAAATTATGTTGTCTCCTGAGAAGGCATATATCCAGTCCAGGGCAATGAATGGGCTCAGTTTAAGAAGAAAGCATTACAATTTACAACATTATGAACATATTGCGAATCGATGACTGTAATAAAGCGAAACATTTTGACCTCGACTTCCATTCAATCAATCACGCAGATAACAAATGGGTGAATTCTAACAAGGGAGTCTGTGACTAGACAAGTCAGTTTTCGTACCAAGACGTTCACATGTTAACAGTGAACGCTCTTAGATAATTGATTGTTATAATTAATCTTAACCCTAACCCCTAAGGGTTCATTGGGGGTCAAGTACCAAATACAAATGTACCACAGAATACTACATGTGTTGTGCACACTTGTATGGAAAGAAATGCATACTACAGTTTACTACTCAGTAGTATTTTGTAGCTTTAGATGTGGCTAGGGTTTGCTCCCAGGTTCTCAAAATCCTTTTGCGGGGTTTGGCAGGATATAAGAAGGTAGATCCCAGTCCAGTATAAGTCGAAGAAACAAATTCGCAAATGAAGGATTTTTGAAGATTCAAAAAGAGTTTCTCAGAAATGGTTTAAGTGAGGAAAATATTGATCATTTTTTGTAAAAAAAAAAAAAAAACCAGTTGAATAAACAACAAATTCATGGGTTGTTGCAGTTTGTCAGCAGTACATGATAATTAGGTGAAAAGGAGCTTACATTCATAAAGAACTTCCTTTTATATTTTTGGGGAAAAAATTCTCCCGTCATTGAGTCCACGCAGTAATTGTGTTTTCCCCAACATCCGCAGGGTGCCGTATCTCAGCTAGAAATTCATAAACATCCCAACTCAAATGGACAAACTCTAGGTGCACATTGAAAAACGTCTGGTGTGAATCCTTCAGCAGGTTATCCCAGTAACTTGACACAATTACTGAAATTTCCCTCACAGGACAGGTCTAAGCAGATGTGGCATGGAAATGCTGGCATTCTGGTGCTGACACCCACCGAGACCGCCAAAAGAATATTCAGACGTCGCTATTACTTAGGCGTCTCTTTTCTACTCATTGGAAATTGACACGTTTTTTCCCCCCGATAGACGCAACACAGCGATACAGCACATTCTCGCTTCCTACGGGCCTATTACTTAGGAACCATTCTCTGTGGATAAACATTCCAACCCTGTTGGAGATGCTAGTAATCTAGCTGTCAGTCACCACACAAATGTTCAGCCATTATACTAAAAAAAAAATAAAAAAATAGGCCTCCCTTCCAGTTATGAGACACCCACGGCCCACTCCTCCAGAGAATTCAAATATATGGGAAACAATTCCCTACTTCCCGGAAACGGATACATATAGAAGTCGGAAACACTCCCCCCTGGTCACCCCACCCCCCTTTCTCATGCAGTGCAGAAGCACACACTGTTGCCAAGTCTATAAGGTCAGAGGTTATTCTGACTGATGACATTTTTGCAGCACATACCGTGGGGCCTGCAGGGGATTTTTCCAGCCAGTGTTCAATAGCTGCTGCATTTTGATAGTGTCGTTCATGTGCCATTTTCACACATTGGCTTGAATGTTATTTTCATAGAATATTCTGTTTTTCCTGCTGTATTTGTGTTTGAATATATCTATGTGGTGCAGCTGTATTTTCTGTGAAACCGAAGTCCTTCCTGATGTGTCAAATTATCAATATTGTTTTTATTATGCACTTCCTCATCCAGATATGTATTGCTTTTTAAAAATCCAACTTGGCATTTCTTTCTACTCAAATAGAAGCCAAGAGAAAAGCAAAAGAGTAAAATGTACATGGAGCTAAACGAATCCCAGAAAAAAAACATAAGAGACAATTTGAAACTACACAATTAAAGTACTAGACATAATTGGCCTTTGCGTGTGGGTGACAAACAAATATCCGTAAGTTAACAATATCCGGGAGTTAACTTTAAAAAATCCAAAATCGGTAGCGAGAAATGTGCATGTAAGGTTGAGGAAAAAAAATGTGTGTTTACATGTATGTTAACGCCCTAAGTCAGCAGCTTGGCCTTTAAAAAATTCAGGTACGTCGGGTTTAACAAATGTAAATACCATAAACACACAATTTGTTGGTTTAGGCCTAAATGAAAGCAATCAAATTAGTAATCATGCGAACATTTTGTACGCTACTACATGAGCATATAATTGACAAATATGATGCATTATTGTTGCTTGTTGCCAATTTTATAAGGCGTGGCCCCCCAGCATCCCTATAAATCACTACATGTACCGGGTATGTGCGGCGACGATGCGTCAAATCATCTCAGTGTAATCGAATATCAGCGCCTAACCATGAAGCCTAATAGAGTGTCACTTGATACTGCAGTTTGGTTATCACAAGAAAAACACACATATGTAAAGAATCCCAAGAAACCATCATCTAATCCTGCCCTGGAATTGGCTTAAAGATGAGAAGAAAATTAAAAACCATTGTATTAAACTCATTGTAAAAGCATATGTGCTTTCATTTTTCTCCTCTATTTTGTAAGAAGAATATTTTTTGGCACTGTGCATTGTGATTGATCTGTTGTTACCGGCACACGCGAATGCAACATGAGAACCCATGTATACAACTGTAGACCATTCATCGCAGGGCTTGGTCTAAACATGTGTATTTTTCATTTTAATAATTTTTTTCCCCCTGAGCATTGTTGGAGCAAGAGATCGGTTTCAGTTTTGATAATTGATCGTCGTCGTTTGTTAATGAAAAGTCTCGACTATCAGAGAATTCTGGCAGCTTATTCCATTCATCATTATTTGCTTTGCAGCAACAAAGGCCTTAAACAAAAATATGATCTGACAAAAATTTGGGCATCGCATTGTGGTTGTTTTTCAAGGAACACTCTGTTTGTGCACTGCTTTTTCTTCACCTAATTAGTCATTCGTGTAAACATGTCTACCCGGTTTATAAGCATCGTCGATATCAGAATTAAATAATGAAAGGTTTGCGGAATAATTTCTCAACTAAGCGAATGGTTCTGAGAAGAACCAGAGGTATGAACTCGACGTTCCCGGTCAGTATGCTCTGACCGTCTTCAGGAGAGTGCCTAAACTCTTAAGATATCAGAATTTTCAATAATTGATATATCAGAAATCCAATATCGAGAATATTTGATATATCGATTATCCCATGTAAAAGTTAAAGACCATAAAGATGACACTTTGATTTAAAAAGCCCAAAATCTGTAACGGGGCCCGACAGGAAAAAAAAGTGGACCCCAAATTTATAGAATGCCCCATATGTTCGTGCAGTTGCCGTAATGGGCCAGTATGTGAATAATTTGTGACAGACATGTTCATGACATACATGTACATGTAAGTCCATGTCTTGTCTGAAAAGTCAATGGTTTCCTTCCTCCCTGATCCCTCAAAGTCTATCGGGAAGTTTTGGAAGATTGTTGAGGATTGAGGAATGTAAATCCTTGTCAGTATTACTTTGAATGGGACTTGATGCCCTTCGGAAGTTCACAGTAACATATATTGAAGGCACGTAGGAACATTGTTGATCAGCCGGAATGGGACCTACTGAATTTTAATGAGAAAAACCTGACTCAAAGTGAAGATAGGAATGGTACCAAATACCCAATGAAACTATTCTGCCTGAAATGGTATTGTTGAGGTAAAAAAATCATCGATGGTGTTTTAAAAGTGTGCCTGTGGGCACACTGTTTTAGTTGTACAGAAAGTCCTGTATATTTTTGTACACTAAATCATTAAGGCCTCAGGAATGTACAGGGAAAAAATGCACAAAATATCTCGCTTTGTTGTAACCTCCAATGTCCCACTCTCATATCCCAAATTTGCAGTTAATTATACCTCGTTATTGTGGAAAGACCTATACAGGGGGAATCAAAAAGAAAGTGACCAAATTAGACCAACAAAAAAATATTGTTAACCGTACAGAGTCCAAATCATGGAACTGCTAAGCACAGTTTAAAGCACAGAAAATTCTTGCTTAGCAAAAATGGTTACCAGCCAAAATGGCATGTGACATATTGCTTCCAGCCGGTCCTCAGCTGATTTCTGCTTAGCACAAAAATTTGCTAAGCATTCTAGGTCAGCAGTTCGAGAAATTGGACCAAAGTTTAAAAAAATTCCCTTGAAACTTGCAGCTGTGCAAGATGGAATTGAAATTAATCTGGAAATTGCTTAGCACAGACAATATTTTCTGAGCAAAAACAGCCAAATGTACAAGTGTACTGCTCCTAGCAGTTTCTTAACAAATTGTTTTCTTTGAATCTTGCAGCTGCACAAGACGGAGTCAGACCGAGTGCGCCGGGTCCGAAGACCCTTCCAATCTACGCTGGCTGGGCAAACTGGACCAGTGCATCGCCATCCTATCCGTGGAGCCACCCAACACACCCAGCACCAGAGCGCAAGAGGTAATTTAGATAGGCAAATTGCGTGTAATCCCAGGCTGGGGCTAGCCGGACTTGAGGGATTTGCCCTCCTAATTTCTTGTCATTTTATCTGCGCGTCCAATCAAACCGTTGCAATCTGCCCGCCCGTAGGGATTTTATTCCCCGTTCCCTTGTGGCAGGGATGAGCAAGCAACAGTGGAATCAAGTTTCTTTTTTTTCCCCAGGTCTAATGATATGCATTCGGTTTGGTCCACGTGGGATATCTTGTCAGTGATGTACCGGTACACATACCAAGTAATTTTTAGCGTGGTACATGTGTGCATTTTAGGTTTGTGAGCATACTTTGGGAATTGCATGCTCCCCAAAATAATCAAAATGATCATAACATTGCAGAATCCATCTTTGAAATATTACATGCACATATACACGTATGTATTTGTGGCAAGGTGGTAAAATTACTGATTGTATATTGGTTTAAAACATAAAAGTGGCTTAATCTTTTGATCTGATTATTCTCAAAGACATCGCCTTTTAGGGGAGATTCTGCTTTGATCAAATTATGGGGCCCTCTGATTCTTACCATTTGTGAATTTCAGGTCAGTCCATTCGCTAAGCATTTTGCAAGGAGCTTTAAGTACATTGTATCTTATGGCTGAAACAAATGCCTTTCTACACAGAAAGCCTTCAGACTTGAGTGTACATGTTATTTCCATGATAAAGTCTCAAAACACATTGCATCTTTAAAGCTGCTAATAATCAGTGTTTAGATTGTCAAGGAAAGCGAGACAGGTTTAAACCAAAAAAAAAAAAAAAAAATCCCTGTAAAAAAAGAATAAGGGTAGCCACTCTACACAGACTGTACGTACACGCTGATTACCAGTGATATCTATCCATCTCAATCTGGAGTTGACTAGCAAACAACCCGCACTTCCTATATGATCTCATTGAGCCAACACACTAGGCAGGCTACGGGGTAATATATCACCTGCGTCCCACAATGCTGGAGTGCACTGTCAACAACGTCTTTGTCTTTTGTACACAATCCTGTGATTAAATACGTGTCAGAATTACATTTCAGGAGGCCTTTTTAAGAAATAAGCCCTTAGATCAGGAGTCAATACACATTTTTTGAGGTTTTTTTTTTACATTGGGCAACTTGTTGAGGCTGCTTTGAGAAATCAGGAATTTAAGTTTTATGGAAATTTTGCCATAATCTGCAGACTAAAAAGAAATTAAAAATATATATTTCCATTTTGACAAACAGTTCTGGAAAAGAATTTGTCTTGAAGAATAAATAAAACAAAAACAAGAATATTGAATTCATAGAATAACAATAGGTTTTGGGCTAAAGCCCAACACCTAATAAATAGAAATTGTCATGTACATTGTAATGTTACTGGTTATACTTATTACCCTGGATTTGACATTTGGGAGACATCCCCATAGACTTGTGCACAAAATTTTTCAAACTTAAATGTGCCCTAACCCAATTTTCCCTTGCCCTTTTTCCATGAAATTTGGTATGTTTACTAATTAAAACACGAGCAACAAATATAATCTAATTGCGACAATAAAACTGTGCCTCTAAAGGGGGGCTGTGACATTAGGGAGACATGAAAATGTCTCCCTAATGACCGATGTCTCCCATCGTGTGAAGAAATTATGATAACGTGTCTCCTTAGTGGTACCTTTACACATATACAGTGTATCTGTAGGACTTCTTTTATATGGCATTATTTTTTAAAAGGAGAACAGAACCCAAACAGTGTTTTTAGGGAATAAGTGTGTCATTGACATGCTGACAAAAAATCAATAGATCCATTTTATGGATTTTGTCGGTTATTGAACAAAAAAACTGCTTTGCCCCCCCCCCCCGAAAAACTACACTTTGCAGGCCTTTTTGATTTTTAACCCTAACTCCCTAGGGGATATGCAAAATCGTATTAAAATTGGAGGATTCAGGACTGTTAGGGCTATAGAAAGGTATTTTGTGCTCCGAGTGAATATAACTTTAAAAAGTATGGAATCACATTGGAAAGGGATCTCCTTTTGTTCTAACTTTGCAACATTTCGTTCCATACATCGTTGGCCAATTTTGTTGTATGCAATGTCTGAATGGGAAAGCTCCTAAATTACCCCCTTCTCAAAAGTAGTACATTTTTTTTGAATTTCTGAAATAACACTTTTTGAATCTTGAGTGAAAGACATTATCGGTATAGAAAAAAAATGCATCTGCCAGACCTTTCATCAAATTTTCAGTCCCGTTTTGAAAATTGACAATCTCATCCCTAACACTTGTCAATGTGAATTTCCTTTTTTCGGGATGCCTCACCCAAACGTATGTTTATTCAACCGTTTCGAGGTACATACAACTGAGAGTCAGTGTACACGTTGTTTATTCTAGGGCTGTCCATTTTCGAATAATTTAGTATTTGATAATTCGAAACTGTGTTTGACCAAATATTCGAAACCAGCCGATCAGGTTTACACACGCCAGATGCAACAGCGTGCCGCGCCCATCAAATGTTGTAGGCAAAGTGCCCCGGGTAAAATATGCATGCAGTGATCGATGTTATGGGTCGCTGGAATGTTTTGCAGTTAGGAACTGTCAAGGGCCTTTAACCTGCTAAAAGGAAAACAATGAACTGCCGTCCACAAAAAAGTTGCTGTCACCGTTGACAAACAGTGGCATCTGACAAAATAGCACTGCAAGTTTACGATTATAATAACATCACAGTCGTGTACATGCATAGTTTTTTCTTTCGAATACTCGAACAGGTAAAATGCTTTTCAAATATTCGGTTGTTGATCGAATTTATGATTATTCGGCATATTTGGGACAGCCTTAGTTTATTTCCAGTTCTAGTTCATGCAGTATGAAAGAAACGTTCTAGTTATTTTACCAAAAACTGAAAGAAAAGGTAGATAATATAACATGGTTTAAAGAGAACAGTCAGCATTTGTGGTTTGCCTTGAAAAAAAAAAAGGAACAAGTCACAGGGAAATCTAAATGATATCCAATATATCCTATCCTGGTAATTGATGGGTTTACCAGCCCAGGATTTATGGTATTGACCCGGACACGCTGAGGGGGAGAAGTTGACTTTTGTTCAAGGTTGGACACTTGTCAATCTTTCTTCTTTTAATAGGAAAACCTCCAAACCAAAACTGCAGAGTGGTCAAATATTTTTTTGGTGGTGTTTTATTCTTTTGCTTTCGGGGGGAAAAGTGCACTGTCGGTTGTGAGAAATTGAGACCTAAAACTTGGCAAGCTTCCAGGGTTTGGGAAGACTGAATGTTATTGTGGTTTCTGGCCTGCATTGTTCAACAAATGTGTCTTATCCTGTAGGACATGACTGAAATTAACAGGAGATCGTAAATTAGACAGTTGTTTTCGTATTGGAATGGACAATGTCCAGTGTGTATGTACCGGTACATTTAAGTGTAATACTGAAGTTGTGTTTGTCTTGGAAGTGGAAACAAATCAAACGGGACTTTGTATAATTTGTTTTGAAAGGCATTGATCTGAAGTATTTATTGCTGTACTGAAACTGTCTGTAAATGTTTGTTTTGTGAGGTAATGTAGTTAGGTTTCTAAATCAAAACTAACATTGGCAATAAAAATAACATATTTTTGGTTGTTATTTCCCCTCGGAATTGAAACTGATGAAATTGAAAGCTTGTTATTAAGAGACTCTTCGTCTCATACAGTGGGGCTGTTTCGTTTTTGTCAAGTGTAGTTTTGGGAAGTTGGAAGGAGGGTCTGGGAAGCATTTAGTGTAGGGAAGAGTGGGGTTAGTTGGAGGGCGGGATACATTGAAACATTAAGTTTTTCACCTAACCCCATAGGTACAGATGGGGTACCCTTATTAAGTTGGAACACCTGAGGTGATTTTGTTCAATGTGGATTTTTAAAGTTATTGTTTCTTCAGTAAAATCTGTTATTGTTTTATGCGGATGTTTTTGTGAAATCGCTCTAACTAACCCCACTCTCCCCTGTTTCCAAGTGCTGCAGTCAGTTCTACTGGAAACTGAAATAATAAGATGATGAAGCAGCCAAAGCACCAAGGGTATTTAGAGAAATGCTTTGAATAAGTAAGAACACGGGCGTTTACCGGTACAAGTAGATGCACATCTTGAGAAAGGTGTACTGAAAATATATGACTGCAAAAGGACAGAATAGACCTTAGACATAATGACGTCTCGCTTTGTTCACATGTGCGCGCTTTGCTATGGGAGCCAGGTGGGGATGATTAGCTGGCGTCCCCATTGGCTCCCATAGGAAAGTGCACATGTATTTTTTTGATGTATTACTTTTAGGTCTATTACCATGGACTTAAGCCCGAGTCCTTTTTAAAAAAATAGTCTGTCTTACATTTATATGTGTACATGTATGTATTCAACCTACTGTAAGTTACAAATAGTCAGGTTTGTACGCATACATGTAATTAAAATCTCCATTATTCAGACCATTAATTCTTTCTACTCTCTGAGGCTTAATTCCTGTTGAGTTTTTTTTTCATGGAACTCGGCAATGGACTTGACTAAGGAATAGATAGGTGCGGACATCGGGGATTTTTTTTACATGGGCTTATCTAGCTCTTCCAGACCTATGTTCTTGAAACTCAATGGTTCTTGAGTCTGGAGTGCTGAATGGTAACACATAGCAACCGATGAAAACTGGTGTGCAAATGAGTAGATATTTTCATCGGATGACATCAGCCCGCCCCCACCTATAGTTTATACAGGCATGCAACTTTTCCTCAGATTAGCTGATTTCCTCTTTTGTTCAAAAGTTAAAAAAATGAAAACACTGTGCAAAGTCTTCTGAAGTCTTGGAATTTCCTTGTGTTATTTGTTTGGTGGCTTTACAGTTGCATACCTGTTGATCGTGTCCGCCCATGCACAAAAATCTGTCTTGAAGTTTTATCATACATGTACTTACACATGATTTATCCTTGGGCTTTCTGAGTAAAGAGGGCAAAGGAAAAATCCATTTAGGTCCCCCCCCCCCCTCCCCTCCTCTCGGGACCCCCTCTCAGTTTCTGGAGGAAATCTGGAATGGGTGAGGCCCAACATTCTCCCGAGAATCCAAAAGCAAAAAAAAAAATCGGGATTCCGGGAGGATATCGGTATCTGGATTAGAAATATCTGAATGACTGTCTGTCCATGTCAACTCCTCAGACTTCCCATGTAATCCAATAGCTAGGAGGAAATTCACTCAATCACCCGGACCCTACTTAGGAGAAATCTGTAATTGTCCAGCATTTGGGACCGGGTGGGTACTCCGGATGGCATTTCCTTAATGTGAAGGGTGTTTCATTTCATCAGACATGTTTTTTTTCCCTTCTGGTTCGAATGCAGTTTAGGGACGGGGATAATCAGGCCTTCAAAAAGTTCTCCTCTGTCAACCCCATTCACACTGAAAGGAATGATAGCGACTAACTAAATATAATTCAAAAGTCAGTATGAATTTAAAATGTCCTTGCCTTAATCCTAGGGCCATTTGGCTGGGAACCATCCTCAATCCTGCCAAATTCTCCAACTGCCACTGTGTAAAAGTTAACATGATTTCCCTTTTGTCTGTTTTTTAGTTAGTGGTCCAAACTTTCTGGTTAGAGCTATTGTCTAAGTCTTCACCAATTTATTTACAACTACCCGGTACTTGGGCACAAACTGACAATAGACATAGCCATAGCTGAACACCCATTTGGGACACGGCTTACATGTACGTTACTTCACTCTTTTATATTTGTAGTTGACGCTGAAAACCAGAGGCCTACCCCAACTGGATCCAACCACTGACTTCGTCTACAAGTGTAAGTTTGGAAATCTGCCTATGCAGCCTACTACGGTAGACTTCACAACCAACACGTCCTCGGTCCGATGCTTGACACCCCCTAGTGACCAACTGCCGTCAACAGTGCAAGGTAAAACCAGAAAAGAGAAGAAGAAAAATAGCCGATTTAAAAAAAAAAGAGCAAAACTTACACCAGAACTGTCTTTTATCTGAATACCGATTTGTCCTTGTGGAATGTATATTTTTCAAGACAGATGAAAACTTACAAATCCCTAAAACTTATTTCCCAGCAGTGTAACTACCGGAGGTGTTAAGGCGTCTAAGCTTCCTCTTGGGCTGCAAGAAAATAGGAAGAACATGTAGAAAAACACGGCAAATGTGTGATAACCCCCCACCTTCTACCCCTCTTGGCAGCTAAACCCTCCTCTTGATCTAAATCTGCATCCGCCTCTGCTTCCCCTCACAAAAAAATTCTTGCAGACAGGGTTGTAAGGCATCGCAACTTCTAGGCTACTTATTTTGGGAACTCCAAATGTGGAGACACTTGAAAGTTTCCACACAAAAATCAAGCAGGCTTGAGACCTTTTTGAATTTTGAAAACTGTGTTTGAGACCTTTTTGAATTTTGAAAACTGTGTATGAATCACAAAGAATGACATTATGAACATAGAAAGTAATAGGAAAGCATTACAAATTGTCAGGTTTTCAGACTGTTTGTATGTTTTATTCAACTGACAATCATAAACCCTGAGACAACCAGGAAATATGGTTTCCCTGTCTGTCAGTTAATGTTGCCTGACTTTGGTAATATGCCACTCAGCTTTTCCGCTGAGCCAATTATCTGAGACACTGAAACCTGAAAAACCGAGGGCCAAGGACTCGGGAATAAACCATCGTAAACATCCGACAACTGGCTCCGATTATGAAATGCATGTAGGAATTGAATGACATGAGTTAGCAACTGGTACTTCAATTACTTCGGTGCACTAGCTGTGAGCATTGTGCAGCCAATAATGCGATAAACGTCCAGGGTAGAATCCAGCATGTCTCCGGATTATGCGTGAATGCGTGTCGGAGATGAAAGACGCTCCTCGGCTATCCTAGGTATCACCATACACATCGTGAGATTCACGCAAGGACGCTCCATTTGAGTCATGGAGAATTTCCTCTCGGCACTGGCACGGGCAGAGCGAGGTCTTTTTTTCCTTCTTTCATTTGGGGTAATCCGTCTGCGGTGTGCACACGATGACATCGCTGATATATTCCATCAGTGGTGGTTGTGGATCTTCCCTTGGGCGCGTCCGAAATAACATTATCATTACCTGGAGGTGTCTTTCTTAATAACTGCTTGCTCATACAGGAACAATGCATTGGTAACTCGCGGGGGGGGGGGGGGGGGGGGGGGGGGGGGGGGTCGTTGCGAGTTTTTTTTTAGCGAGGGATCTGTTACAGGCTTATCATGACCAAACAGAAATTTGGGCCTCAAGTTGAAGTTACCCTGGGGAATGGAAAATAAATCGAGATAACAAATCTCCTGGGTACACTCGGCAGTATTCAGTGTCCGCGCCGTTTGTTTCTGAAATTACATTAGTAGCGCTGACTTTTATTGGCTGCGTAACTTCGTTAGCGTACTTTTTTTTGAAGTAATGTTACATTGTTGTGAGAGGTTGTTTTCTTCACTATGTGAGAAATTGCACTGAGTCAAAGCTTACTGCAATTAACCTTATAATGAACCATTGTTATTCTGACTGCCGTTGCCCTACCTTCAGGACTTAAGGGAACCTAAGGGTAACAGTTGCTATTGATACACCTCATTTTGGGTCGAGTTCCCTGAATGTATTTTATATATTGTGAACTGTTGAATGCGATGGTGCCAGACTATTTATGCATTCTAGCCTCACTTTCACTTTCTTTTAAATGTGGTTTAAAAACATTAGGGTGTTTTTTATTCACAACTTTCAATTATTCATCAGAGCAGACTGGTGTTAATTTGTAATTAATTTTATTGTCATTGCTTTGATTTCTCGTCGCAAGTTCCAAAAATGAAACTTTTGCCTCGCTTTCAATTTAATATGGCCGACTCGTGAATAACAGCCCATGTACGGTTCTCCTGATTACTATCGCATCTCGACTATTGCATGTTGTGATTTGATCTTACAACTGTGTGATGCATGCTTTCCATTGATTTCATTTCCGTGCCTACCGTACATGTAAATTTGCAAGAAAAAAATGATTGCCGTGGAACTGATTATTCGTTTCCCCCATTTTCAAGGATAAAATTATATATTTACGAGTGTCAAGTACATGTACCAAAGCAAAACGTGAGTCCAAATGACGTTTCAATAAATATTATTATAGTTTCAATTGCTACTTGTATTGCAAGTTCCGTGGAAAGGGTTCATATTTGACTGCATGCAACACTGCACGCAACACTGAACCACTATATCATATATTTTTATTGAGATCATGACATTTACAAACTCACTTGATGGACTATCCAGATGACATTGTAATCATAGTTGATCATAATAAAATAATCTTGTGCTGTTGACTGAAACACTTTTATTAGGAGGAGGAAAGACTAGGAACTGTTACGGTTTATGCTAGCTTCTTACCTATTTTGCTTTATGTTTATGAAAAAGATTCCAATGGCGAGTAAGTGAAATTGAAAAAAAAAAGACCCATCCCCAGTTTTGGGTGTGCTACTGGTAAACTTGATCACATTGACTGTAAATTTTATAAAATTGTCTGAGTAATCCCTGAGGTCTCATTGTTAGATTTAAAAAATACAGGGTGAGTAAAAAATACGAAACCCAAATGTCGGGCTATTGTTCTAGTGAAGTTCTGCATGTAGCACTTTCAAAATGTAGGATATGAAAGCCCAGTTCATAAGCTTCCACAAAAAAGGTAAGTGTTCTTTCAGCAAAACCAAAAGAAATCACGTAGGGATGTGTGTGAATGGTTTTCGTTTTGCTGAAAGAATGCACGCCTTTCTTGTGATCCGTGAACAGAACTTTAAAACGGTGGTTGTGTTTAAAATTCCGTAACTTGAAAAGTACATAAGTGATTCGAATGATTCTTGTACTGAAAGAAAGCTTATGAATTGGGCTTTCATATCCTATATTTTGAAAGTGCTACATGCAGAACTTCACTAAAACAATGGTCCCGACATGTGGGTTTCGTGTTTTTTTTTACTCACCCTGTATAATAATAGAAAGCAATTCCTCATACACTGTTCGTGTTCACTTTCTTTTTCTTTGTCAGGTTTCCTGCGTGTGGAGCTTTCCATCCACGCCACGGAGACGAGCCTAGACATAGTCAGCACCGACTTTGACTTCTACGACTGCAGCACCTTCACCAGCTGCATGGAATGCGTAGGCAATGAGTACAAGTGTGACTGGTGCATCTTCCAGAACAAGTGCATCGGCAACTCCTCATCCTGTGATCCCAATGGAATTGTCACCAAACGAGAGGTCAGTCCATATGCTTCATACCCATGCATTTTGTTTTTGTTTTCTGTTTTTGGTGTGAAGTGGCCGATTGACTCCAGAATCTTACTGCTGTGTGATGTAAAATGTACTGTTTATCAGATAGTAGGTGGAAACGTTTGGAGCTGCTCCAAACTCGATACTATCTGTGTTGTAAAATGAGGTGTTGTCTTTTTAGATAATGCTACGTGCATAATTATGAAACCCCATTAAAAGAATTGGAAAGACTGTTGCGTCCTGACCCCATATTTTTCATCATACCGGTATATCATTTCAGTGAAGGTCAGTCATTACAAAAATGTTGAAGAGACAAGAATCTGGGACTGAGAAACGTGTCCAAGTTAGGAAATACTTTGAAAATGTTCTTGGCTTGTGCACTGAGTCCACACCAACTAAGCATTTTCTGAGGTGGCACCAGGCTTGGGCTTAGGTAGTTCCTTCAACCAGTAGGGTTAATAAAATGATAATAATAAAAATAAGTGTAGTGCTTATGTTGCGCTTTCCATCGTATCAACAATCTCAAAGCACTTTACAATCATTACCCCGTTCATCAGGCCATGAGACCACACGGCAGCCGATATCAGCACTCAATCGGTCTTCGACCCTCACAGGCACCCATTTATACTCCTGGGTGGAAAGAAGCAATTGTAGTTGGTGTCTTGCCTAAGGGCACAAACGCCATATTCTTTGCAGGATTCGAACCCACGCACCATTGTGTGCGAGTCAAACACCGTAACCACTGGACCATGGCGTTCTACGAAAATGCGCATGCGCCTCCATTTAAGAACGCATGCGTCATGTGCGCGGTCGTGGTTCCACCTAAGAAATACAAATGGCATCTAATTTTGTTTGCCACATGAGTCTGTTGATTCTTGTTTGTTTTATTTTGACAGGGTGAACCTAACGGGGAGATGGCCTGCCCTCGTATTGTGAATGATGGCCAGGAGATCCTCATACCAGTGGGAGTCAGCAAGAGGTTCAGTGTGCCTGTTGCCAACCTGCCATTACCAAAGGTACTAATGTCTGTTACTCAAGTAGTTTTTTTTAATGAATGTACGGTTTGGCTGGACCCAATGGCCCAGCCTGTTTTCCTCTGACTGACTCACTGCCTGACTGACTGACTGACTCCCCGAGTAACTGCATAAATATCACATCGTACACTGAGACTTTCCGTTTCAGCTGGACTGGGAAAGTCTACTCAAGTCTAAATGGGCTTAACCCTAATCCCCTAGGCCCTTTTGGCTAGGAACCATCCTCAATCCTACAAATCCTCCAATTGCCACCATGTAAAATTGGATTCAGCCTCAATCCAAAAAAATTTCTGTCATTCTTGAATTTGTTCAGTGGAGGGGTGACCACTGCTTCAACCCTTCAAAATCCTCCAACAATCACTGTAAATGGGTTGAGGCAGTGCCGGTGACATTCAGAAGCAGTGCGGATGATATCCAGCATAATACAGGTCTCAATATATGCATGACTGAACAAAAACAATGCTGGGTAAAGCCTACGAACACATGTGACACATGATCCTATGACACAATGGATCCTGCAAAATCAACCAACACTTTTTGCCTAAATCCTCCCAAATCCGCCAAAACCGCCCGGAAGATTTTGGAGGATGGAGGAGAGGAGACAAAAATGCTTTTATAGCTAAGACAGCAACAGATAAATCATATTGTTTTTTTAAGTTTGTATATTTTAGTGAAACCTTATATAAATGCATTTGCCCCCAATCAGTGGTGCAGTTTAAAGGCAGATTGATCGGTGAACCTGTTAACCCAAAGAATTTTTTATCATGCACGAAACCCATTAGTTTTGCAGGACCTTTACAACATGTGATAGATCTTTATCATGCTGCCACCATTTCAGTCATGTTCCTTGTATCCAACAACAGTACTGAGTGATAACCTTTTGCTAATAGTTTCTGTGCTTAGTAGCTCCATTGCCCAGGTCTCTGTTGACTGTGATGTTTTTTTTAATTAACGGAACATGTGATGCATCGCTTATTTCAGGATGATGCAGGCTACAAGTGCGTCTTGGAATACGAGGACAGCACACAAGTGGCACCGGCCAACCGAGTCAGCGAAACTAGCCTGGAATGCCAGCCAAAACAGGTGAATGAGATGTTGAGTCTCCTGGTTATGATTATGATTCTGTATTATGTCCACATTATAAGAATACAGATACAATGTGATCCTATTCCATTGGCAATAAGAAACATAAAAAAAAATTACATAAAACAATCTCCTGACAATGGGTAGAGCATACTTTGTACTTGAGTTTTACACCGTTATTTTTCTTCAGAACCAGACATACTCTCAAAATAGATTTAATTTGCGCAATCGCAAACTTAGCCTTATTCTAAAGTCGTGGCAGTGTTCGGCACACATCTGTTTTTTTTGCACGGATTGGCTGATGAACTGGCTAAGAATGTCTACATTGATTGGCCTATCAGTCAGCGCCATCTGTTTACTGTTACCGTTGGATTGTCTGAGCATGTCTGTTGTATCTGATGCGATCTTGGAGATGGGTATTACACCTGGGGGGAGGGGGGGGGGGAGCCTGCAAAGACGCTGACAATCCAAATTCCACCAAACCGCATGCCAAATTGATGTCTGCTGTGATTAAGTGCTGACGTTGTTGTATGGGATTTCTTGCCTTTTTTCTAGTTCTAGGCTAATGCCTGGAACATTTGAGCATTATATAGACCATGTGCCCTGTGATGTCATGCCAACAGGCAAGTGCCCGGCAACACAAGCACTTATGCATCTTTTTTATGCATGTTTATTTGGCCCACCTTAAAGGGAATATACAACATTTGCAATCATCAAAAAAAAAAAAATTACCAAATTATAATGAAAATCTTACTGGACTGTTAGTGAATGACAGTCCAAAGCATCCTATAAAATCATGGCACCTGGTGTTCTGTCATTTTCAAGAAAAGTTTTTTTTTTTTTTTATCAATTTCCAACGCTGGTCGGCTGACCAGCGTTGGAAAAACACTGGCTTTTTTTCTAATACTACCCCCAATTCACCATTTTTAGTTAGTCCGCATTTTGTTTGCAATCAATTAATCTCTATGAATGGGTACAAGCCAGCTAGACTGGTTCCCTAACTTTACAATTCCCGATATCTATAAATTGCTCCCTTTCATCTTAATTGGGGTCAGGGCATCAGATTACATGAACATGATTGTTTTTCTTAGTTTTTCCAACATCTACAAACACAAAACTTCAAACAAGTCGGTGTAACAATATTTGCTATAAAAAAAAACCCTCAAATCCATGCATTTCTGAAAACTACGTCAAAAGCAAATGTTGTACTTTCCCTTTTAATAAGTCTTTGTCAACACTATTAAACCACTCATATTTCAAGAGATACACTGTACACTTGAAGCGCAGAGGAGAATCCTTTGCCGAAAGATGGCATCACGTGAGCACAACATCCACTTTTGCAAACAATTTCACATGGTCTATACAATGTAGGTAGCCTATGGAAATGCACAATCACTTATTGATGAGTAACGTAGATGCAGGCTTCAATTTGGTTGGGTACCATACAAAAAAAGGCAGTCGATTACACTTGGTTTTTAAAAATTCAATTGCAAATTCAGTTGAGATTTTTAATAGGAGTTGGTGCCTAAAATATTTAGTCTATATTTCTGCCGATGCTTGGGACTTGACCTCTTGACCAGTGGGAAAAGTGTAACTAAATATGACAACTTTTCATAACATGAACTTGAGAGTCCTAAAGAAAGTAACTTAAAAAATCTCATAAGGGGTAATTTTGCCCTTGATATTTTTTTTTTTTTTTGTTTCAAATTCTATAAAGAGGGAAGATAATGGAAATTTAATATTTCAGGTTAGGGACTAAAGGTTGAACTTTTCTAAGTATTAATAATTACCAGGGGTGTGAAATCTCAGCTTTAAAGCTGATTTCAGCTTTTGTGTGTGTTGGATTTCGCCCTTTTTTCAGCTTTTTCCCTCACTTGCTGTGTACAAAAGTATAGGAGATTTCCAAAGTTCAGCTTTTTTAAACCTTTTTCAGCTGTTTTCAGCTATTTTTATCAGTGGTCACTCACACCCTGAATTACATTTTCCTTAATGAATGTCCAATAAAAATATATAAACTAGCATTTTGAAGGGAACTTTTCTTCCTTCAGAATTTAGCAAATACCGACATTCAGCCTCCCCAAGTTCCGTTTACAAGAACACATTAACCATTTGGAATACATGTCCAATTATATTCTCTGCATTAAAAGACATCAGATTTTGTTGGTGAATCGTTAGGTGTAGTATTAATTATCCCATTTCGATTTTGAAGTATATGATTGCTTAGAAGTTTTCTGCCTTTCTAGACAAAGCCTCTTGATAAAAATATCAATCATACAAATAATTTTTTGATTTTGGCTCTTTGCAGTATGATTACACCACTGATGAGAACGATTTGCCGGTAGTTCTAACAGTGACTTGGGGCAGCGACTATAAGATTGACAACCCCGACGACCTCTCTGGTGAGTCATTCCCTTGACCTTTGACATCAGGGTCACCAAAGCTCTGCCAATTTTATTATGCTTTCAGACCGCAACAGTCTTTTAAAAGGACTGTGACCAGAAATAGTTGGAACTCTTAGTTCTGAGTCTGATAACTTAGCCATTCATGAAAAAGGGTTTTGAGTGGTTTTCCTGCCACACCAAAAAAAAAAAAAAAACATTTTAGTTTTTGTCGTTACTTACAAAGTCTAAGCTACATTGTGCCATTTAATAATAATAATACCGGAGTCTTATATAGCGCACGTATCTACCAACAATTAGGTACTCAAGGCGCTGGTAATTATGTTTATTTTTAAAGACAGGTAAATGAAGTTTAAGAGAAATATGAGACCCATTATGTAGCACCTTTATAAGGGTTTACAAGGTGCTGCGGCGCATATTGCAGCCACTGTCAGAAAAACCGGGGCAAACCCCTTCTCTCAGCGATAAGTGTTACTGGGTTCTTTAACGTGCATTACACAGCACACGGAACCTACGGCTTTAAGTCCCATCCGAAGGACAAAGCAACATTGGTAAAGTGCCTTGCTCAAGAGCACGAGGATCATGTTCCCCATCTGGATTCGAACCCATGTACCACGGCACACGAGTCGAACACCGAAACCATTGGACCACAGCCCCCATGAAGGGCCCTCAGCTCTTCACTACATTGATGTTTACCCCATGTCCATGGACGTTTTTGCTACAAACTTCCCAACTCCTAAAGAAATTCTTCACTTTACTTGGCTGAAAACTAATAGCACATTCTTTGAAGGTTTAGTGGCATCTTATTCCCAAGTTCAGAAATAGTAGCCAGATTCAACTGTCCTCAATCCTGCAAAATTTCAAAATAAAATCTTCAGGTGGATTTTTAAAGATCTAGAAGGGATCGTGTTGGAATAAAAAAAAGTTCCAAATGCGGAGGACAAATGGATTTCTTTTTTGGTTGTCTTGACTGTCAGGAGTTGTAGTTTTAACCCGATTGTGAGCTGAGAAATTCCAGCGCTGGTGCCGGAATCACATCCTAAAGGCACATCACAGCCGAGGTGTGATTTGACACATTACAAGCGTGGTGCTCAGGACCCTGGCTCCGTTTATTGCAGCAGGTCTGTCCCTACGCATCATGCTGGGTTATATGCAGTCCTGTTGACAGAGTGCCGGATGTTAACGCTCCAAGCTTGAAAATGTCACACATTTGGTTCCCATTTGTAAAAGAGGGGGGGGGGGGGGTTAAGGGGAGGACGGAGAACAGAAATGATCCCTTTTACACGGAGGATGTGTTCCACGTTATAATGTGACCCGGCTTGGAATAAACTAGCCTTTGAATTTTGGCACCTGGTTAGGAAACGCGAGCGAGGATACTAGTCATTGTGTCACTTCCCCCGCACTCAATCATAATGTTTGGCACGTCAAGGCAAGCCTAACACTATCACATCCCCGATGGGCGTGAGACTTCAATCATCAACCAAACCAGACTGATAACCCTTTTTCTTTTTTGAGGCCCCAAGTAGTTTTGACCGTTGGGGGGTTCCGGCTGTTGAAGTAAGGCCGGTGTGGACAGTTGGCAGGTGTGGACACTTGGCCAGTGTGTCAAAAGTAATACAAGCCGGCAATATTGCAGCTAATATCTCTCAGGCTGGCTAGACTCGGGGACTATCCCATTAATAAGTAAGACGATAATCCATGTGCTCTCCAAAATAATAATAATAATAATATAATAAAACTATAATAATAATGTGGTGATTATTGCACTTCATATCAAAGGTCTTAAAGCGCTTCACAATAATTGCCCCTGTTCATCAGGCCATGAGACCAGTTTATGTACATGTAGCTGCTCGAAATCAGCGCATTCTGGTCTCTACCTTCGCAGATACCCATTTATACTCCTGGGTTGAGAGAGGCAATTGTAGTAAAGTGTCTTGCCCAAGAACACAAGCATCGTTCTGCCCCCGTCAGAGTTCGAACCCACGTACCACGGCACGTGAGTCGAACACCGTAACCAATTGGACCACAGCGCTCCACAAAATCTGACCACTATGATTTGAGGGGTCAATCGCGATTTGAGATCAGACTTTTACCGACCATATTCGTATCGCTGTCTGAACAAATTTGACACTGTCAATGCATTCTGAGCACATGAGTGACAGCTCAATGCAACTATGGTTATCTGTCTTTGTGTCAAACTTAGTCTTACTGTGGCCTCTCTTGTTTCTTGACTGACCACAAGACCGCACTGCTACATTGATTTTATTTGAAATTTTCAACAAAAAAAACCTGAAAAAATCTTTCAAAGGAAAAACTGACTAGGTCCAGTTGAGTAAAGACATTAGAGAAACCCCCAACATGGAGCTGAGTAGCTCAGTTTGGTAGAGGACCGGAACAGCAGTCCAGAGGTCGCAGGTTCAAACACTGCCCAAGTCAATTTTTTGCTCAACTTTGTGAAAACAAACCGTGTTTATTTTCTTACTCTTGGCATACATCAATCAAAACAACGCCCCATTACTGCTACAAGAATCAAAATTGAAAATACCTTGCAGTATTTCCCCCAAAATAGTATCACCATAGTAGTCTGCAGTCATACATGACTTTTAGTGGTTAGAATAAAGGGACGAGTGTTGAAGGCTTTGGTGACTCACGATCCTCCTCACGTTTTCGATCGGCTCAATTTAGCAACTTTCACGATCGACCTTTTTCTCGCCCGAGGCGCAATATCCATGACTTCTGGCCAGCTCATCTGTCGCAAACTGGTACTCTAGCCAGATGTGGTTGCTCACAGCCTCTTGTGTTGCACTGTACATGTACCATTTGCCTTTCATGGTAAAAAAAAAATTCAAAAAGGGGGATATTTAATTATAGTTTAACAATTGTTAACTGATGTGATTGTGTTGGTTTTTTTTTAAACTCGAGGGATACATGGCACCCGAAGCAAAGTTAAGGGTGCCATGCCGCATCATAGCAGTCAGCAGTTGGTTTTCTAATATCATAACTGTAAATCAAAAGTATACATGTTATGACACATTTTGAAAGAAACTAATTTAACTATTTTCTTTTTCGTCGTCTACTGTAAACTTTACTTCTGGACCTGTTAAGAGGCGCGACTAACACATCTGACACATTCATGTGAATGATGTACTAGACAGCATTAAAGGTCTCATGTGATTTGGATCAAACCAAAAATATAAAAGTTCTGTCTTATTTTGAAAGAAACAAATTAAACTTTTTCACTTTCATCTACTATGACTACTGTGAGCTTTTCTGCTGGACATCCACTGTTCTGTTACGAGGCGCGACCAACACCTCCGATACGCTCATGCGAAAGGCCGTTCTAGATTTCTTTAAGGGTCATGTTTGATTTTAAAAACTTCACACATGACCCTTCTAAACCAATGAAATTGGAGTAGCCAACCCCCCAAATATGCCAGGTGTAGCACAACAAAAGTGAACTGGAATAAATATTCAAACACTGTGACGTGCAGGCCACTGATCTCTATATAAAGACTGGATAGCGGATATGCATACAACATTCACACAGTAGACTTTGCATATTGACCAATTCGCCCCCGGTCTCACGAAGATGGCCGTGTATAATACGAACGTTCTACGCGTAAATACGCGCGCGTTGTATCAACAGTTGACGCGCATTTTGGTCACGTTCACATATTATGATGTTCTAAAAGGGACACATTTCCGTAGTGATCATTATTTCAAAACGCCGAAAAAGTGATATTTGCGGCATTTTAGTAACCACGACGTTAGAAAAATTGTTGTTAACCTTGGTCAGTGGTGGTGGTCAAAATATAAGTCAAGTGAACCGCGACGTTACAAAAGAAATCATGCTGTCTATAAAGACGGCAACTTGTCCTTTGTAGATCACCAGCCGGTCTCACCAATATGGCGTCAAATTCATTCATTGAGCGGCTCTTTATTAGCTATCCAGTCTTTATATAGAGATCAGTGGTGCAGGCAGGCTGTACACATGTACATATAAGTACATGTACATGTATCTGCAAACATGTGCCATGTCATTGGAACATTCACCGATAAGTCAAAACAGATGCTTTGGCACATATCCATGTGTAGCATTCAGAGTTTTAACAAACGTACAAGTTTGTATGTCAACAGTTCTTCTGTCAACCAGTGAAATGACAGTTGTTCTTTTTTTTAAAGAACAGACTCCCACCCCTGTGTAAAAATGATAGTAGTACTTCTGCTGATTCACTGTGGGTTGGCGGTCAGCTTGACAGATAACAAAAATCTGTGCCTGGAATGTGTTGATACCACACTGACACTAATTTGATATATGTGCAGTGTGTTTAAATCCAGTTGCCCAATTAAGTGATTTATGCGCAGTTTGTTGGGTGAGGTTTTTTAGGATTACTTTAAAGGGTTTGTCATTGATGCGTTACCATCAATTGTGGTTAATGAGGTCGGAGATTTGACTGCCTCGCAGCAAGATGGACGCCGACCTTTGTCCTGGTGGGTCAGCCAGGTCATTGGTCTCTAAAACTGCCCAGAAAAGAAAGTTGACATGAATTAAGAATTTAAGGCAGATTGATTCAGAAGGTTTTTGTGTATGACATACATGTGTAAGAAATTCTAAGAACACCCCCCCCCAAAAAAAAAAACGTCCCAAAATCAAAGAGGAAACACAAAACCAAAAAGGTTAAAAAGTATCAGTGAAGGATTAAACATGAAAATTAAATTTAAAAAATATGAAAACTTACTCCTCCCCAACTTCCTCAAAAGAACTTTGAAATTGAATACACCCCCAAAAAAGATGGAAAAGAATGCCAGGGTTCAATGTTCACGAAAAGTGTACCCATTTATGGTAATTAGACACGTCGCCTGTCTCCCACCACCAGAAACAGCTGCAGAGAGGTCACCGCTTCCTAGCTCCATGTTTGGATCCAAAAATAGGAGGGACAGAAATCCGGGAGAGATTTTCTGATGTTTTTTTTTTTTAAATATTTCTTCCATTTGCAGAAGTTGTTCCAATGAACAAGCATTTGGTTTGTGATGGATATTTCTCAGTTTTCTGCATTTACCGAGAAGAGGCTGTGGAAACAAACAAACAACCCAACAAAGTTGCAAAAAAAACCCCAAACAACTCAACACCCCCAACAACCCAACAAACAACCCCCTTTTTAAATGGGTATTGGACGACACAAGGCAAAGAGCACCCAACTATTTGGGCTACAAACGAGGAAGAACAGAAAACAAACGAACAAATCTTTTGTTTTCTTGTGAAAACTGACATTTTGTACCAATTGCATACTTACATTCTTCTCTCTCGTGATCACTATACATGTATACTGGTCTTATGTAGTACAGCTCTTTTAAGGAACTACACTATTGTGTAGGAAGAGCCAAAGACTTAATCTGTGATCCATAAAGACTACAATATATTTTTTAAGACATTAACTAACCAGAACAAGCTTGTGGATGATTGTAGTCACAATCTCTTGGACAGCACCGAGAATACAGTACTTAAAAAGTCATGTCAGTGAAAAAGACAATGCAATATTTAGAAGTTCTATAAATAAATATCAGTCCAAGAAAATCGTATCCAAAAAAGGTTAAAAATAGACTTGTGTTTTGCAGGAAGTAGTTACTGTACATGTACTTCTCAAATATCGCAACTTAGCAGCAATTTTCCAATTCTTGTTCTCGTACATCATTATTTGTTTTGGCAAAGGTCAAGCAGGGATTCCTATCAAGACTATGATCAATTCCTGCAGCTGCTGTGAACTCTAGGAAATTCCCCATTAGGCATTTTTTCAGCAGGAAATATCAAGTGAGGGGGAAAAAAATTCCCTATCTTGCCAAAACGAACGTTTAGTCTTGATATATCCCAATTCAACTTTTGCCCTGGACAGAAAGAGATACATGTATTCTGGCCCCAGTGATTGAAAGTTACGATAGGTGCTGTTAAAAGGAGAGGGTAGCTTAACTGACATCCTGAAGGATTGAGGGATATGACCTTTGGATGTCACATCCCCTGCTTCTTCTGCTTAATTTCCTGTTCAGTAATCTGGTAAAGTTTTTTTTCTGGGGCTCCTATGTGGGGCACAAGACGTTCCAAAACATCTCTAAGGTCTTGTTTATTGGCACTGGGGGACTGCTAAGAAAAGTCAAGAGTGATTTTTGGAGAAGGCCTAACTTTGAATATTGCAAGTTTTCGGATGCTTGATTATTAGACATAACTTAGTTCGTCACTACTATGTCTCCACTTCACCCACTGCAGTGCTTACATGTATTTATGATTATTAATGATCTGGGAAAGTCCTCAATGGGGCTAAAAAAATCTGTCACTAACAGAGGTTATTTCTCGCTTTTTATACAAAGTCTAAGCCCTTGCTGGTACTTCGAGTACCACTTTTCTTCCTTTTGACCTCTACATCAGAAGTTTTGAAATGGAAGTTTTAAAAAACATGTTCTGAGAAAAGTTGGTTTTAATTGGAGCATATCAAAACTGACTTGCTATTTTTTTACTTGTTTTATGCAAACAAGCAGACAAGAATGAACTAAAAGTAAAGTCTACATTAAATAAAAAAATAAAAATAAAAAACAAGTAAAAATGCCACCAGACCATTACTGACAGGTTGGGTTTTTAAAAATTGTATAACACGTCTGTATGGCCATTTAGTTAGCCCCCCCCCCCCCAAAAAGTATTTAAAAAATAAAAAGAGATACCTGCTGAGTTTAGAATTGATAGTTCCTCTTGTGTTCAAATGCATTTTGTGGTAAACAATGGACAATTTTTTGTGTTGGTGTTTGTTTTGGTGGTTTAAAAAAAAAGTTTTTTAAACACCTTGTCAGCTCATACAGATCAGCTAACATACTTTTGTTATATTTTCCCCATCGACAGTTAACCTGTACAAGTGTGACGTGAAGCGTCCCAATTGCGGGGACTGTTTGGCCGGGCCCGACAAGTACCAGTGTGGGTGGTGTCATACAATAGGCAGTCTGACGTCGGGTGACGTATGCAGTCTAGAGTCGGAGTGTGGTAACACCTGGCTGAGCGGCGATGCTCTCTGTCCCCATGCCACCATCACTGATGTAAGTTGGCATTTCATAAACGTCAGGTGTTCTGTCAAAGTCAGATAGGCCATCAGCCTGGGGGTTTGGTCAGTATCAAATCATGGCATAAATGATTATAGTGCGCGTGCGCAAGGTATACCGCCCCTAGAGTGGTAACAAGCATTTTGATGGCCATTTTGAAGGGAAAAAAAGGTGATAACACCCTAAAAGCTGCTACCATTACGATGTTATCACATATTTTCCAATGCTGGAGGTGTATACCTTGCCAAAATTTGCTATAACGATTATTCCCCTCATTTGATACCGGTGGCCAAAATTGTGCACCGAGGCTGATGGCCTAAGACACTTTGCAGCTGGTCGAGAAAAAGAGGTGTTGAAAATTTTGTTAAAAATATAGCTCTTTACCCTTTACAGTGTCAATTTAATTTTTAGAAAACAGATTTTACCTTGACTGAATTATGCCCATTTTAAGTTTGTGATGCCACAAGGGTAAAAACTGAGAAATTGCCTGTTAAAGTTTTGGGTTATGAAATGATACACCTCTATAAATCATCTAAGAAAACCATCTTTATGGGGCAGTACAAGACCCAGTACAAACTTTGGCTTGTCTGACCTCCCCGTACTATTACTTCAAGTTCCGTTATAAGTTTTTCCCCGTGTACGGTATTCAACTTTCCTTATAGTATGGAAATAAACCTGGAACCTGAAACCTGAAAAGTAGAGTCTGAAACTTAAGTACATTTCCGTTATATTTAGGATCACCAATTTGCAAAACTGAAAATTGACAAAAAGAATCATCCCATATCATGTTGTCGGTCCGCTCTCCATTTTAGGCACCTGCCTTGTGATGTACTTGTGACCTATCACAAGTACTTCCACTACAACACAGATTCTTTGTACTCGAAAAGTCCAAGAAGCATCAATCCAATTGTAAAGAACAGTGGCTCGGCTATACCTTCCTCAATCCTAGAAAATCCTTTCAACTTCCCTGGTGGAGTTTGAATAACCTGGGAGGGTTAAGTTAATAACGAGAGTCTTCATTCCTCACTTTTTATGCCCCGCGGCGAAGCCGAAGGGGCATACTGTTTCCGCCTCGTCCTTCCGTGGGTGGGTGGGTGTGTGTGTGTGTGTGGGTGGGTGGGTGTGTGTGTCCGGACAAATCTTGTCAGCGCGATAACTTGAGAAATAATTAACATATGAACTTCAAATTTGGTTTGTGGATTGTTTTTGGCAATCCTAAGAAGCCTTTTGCATTTGGGGCCAAAAGGCCTAAGGTCAAGTTCACAGTGGCTAAAACAATAGAAATCTTGTCAGCGCGATAACTTGAGAAATAATTAACATGTGAACTTCAAATTTGGTTTGTGGATTGTTCTTAGCAATCCTAAGAAGCCTATTGCATTTGGGGCCAAAAGGTCAAGGGTCAAGTTCACAGTGGCTAAAACAATAGAAATCTTGTCAGCGCGATAACTTGAGAAATACTTTACATGTGAACTTCAAATTTGGTTTGTGGATTGTTCTTGGTAATCCTAAGAAGCTTATTGAATTTGGGGCCAAAAGGTCAAGGGTCAAGTTTACAGTGGCTAAAACAATAGAAATCATGTATTTATTCTGAGATTATAGGGATTAGGGATTAATTCATATAAAACCTACAGAAGACACTAATGCTGTCAATGAATGTTCCATGTGACCAAGGTACATGTACATGTAAGTTGATGTTAAAAGAGTGGTGTTATGTCATGGGAACTGTCACCGTTGCAGGGCATTTGTGTTTGTAAACACACCTGACTTGTTTTTGTCTAGTTCTCTCCCAAGAGTGGCTACATAAGAGGCGGCACCAACCTAACCATCACGGGCACCAACCTGGGCCAGAAGGTGGAAGACATTCGCAGCGTGACCGTAGCGGGGACAAACTGTGCCATCAACGAGGGCTATGTCGTAGCAACACAGTAAGTTTAACGCGGCCTACTTGATCCCGATACATTCATCTCCCCCCCCCCCTTTAATCACTGTACCACCAAGATGACCCTTCGCTCAATGTCATGTAGCAGCTTACTACGGAAGTTTTTCTAAGCATGGAAACAAATTGGCTTAGCAAGACAGGTTACCTGCCCAAAATGCCATGCTTAGTACATAGCTTGTTGCTGGTTCTCCGCCGAATTCCGCTTAGCCTAAAATTTTGCTTTAGCTTCTTTTCTTCCAGTTTTGCAGCTCCAAAAATGTGTGACCCTGGCTAATGAAACATAAACACTGGCCTTATTCTCAAACCCATTTTGGTATAATGTTGAAGTTGAAAAATTAAAAATGGCCAAATCTCCATTTGAGATGTATTGTCGGCTGCTTTTGCTTATTACAACAATCTGAAGAGTGAAACTTTTCTGCTTAGACATACCCCCACAATGGTCTAAGCTGATGTTTTTATTGACTGCTTATGGTTAGCTGGAGTCAAGAAGCACATTAAACATTTCCTCAAAAATTATTTGAGCAGTGTGTGTTGTACACGGCCGTACCATTCAAACCTTTTCATCTCTAGTTTGATTCCTCTAGCCAAGCCTAGCCGACTATATTAGGCTTTGCAGGAAATACAGGCTGAACAGTAATCCGTGTTACTTACACCGGCACTTTGCCATGACCTTGCCATTTGGAGACCAGAGAAAAAAAATGACTGTAGCGTTCTAATTGTGCTTGATATTCATTAACCCTCCTATGCAAGCATACATTCTTTACAAAGTTGTCCTTACACGTACAGTCAAAATCAATCAAGTGACTTTTTTGAACAGTTAAGTGCCACCCTGCATACATACAGCAGAATTGACTGGCTGGGACTGTTTATGTGACTTGACACAGCTATGCTTTGACTGTAGGTGATTGATAAGCCAGCTGTGCCTACCACTTGTCTGCTTTTGTCTGTTGACTGAATTTGACTAGTCATAGTGCTTGCTTGAAATATGATCTGACTGTTGGTGACTAGCCAGTGTAAAAGTCATGGCAGGGGAAGGGGATTGATTTTTTTTTGTACTGTCTGCGACTGTTCAGATAGCAGGAGGGTTAACAAATGCCTCAGTGAGTTAAAATTCTAATATCTGATTTTTGTCCATATTGCAAAATAATCATTACTTTTTCATTTGGTGCTGACAGAACGCTTATGAGAAAGCCTGCATAAGCTTAACTCGTCAATTTACTACGGTTGGCCAAACCTGATATTAAACTTTACATCACATGCCCCTGCCGCAAATCTCTTATTTTGATCAAGAAATAGGTAATTTGTGAAGTCATTACATACATAAGTGACCTGCTATCAACATATCATAAGTTTGACATTACACCGATTTTTAATTTTTATTTATTAATTTTTCCCCTTCTTTTTTACAAATTCATCTTAATTGCAAAATCTGTATACATGTACCTACCCCCAAAAGTGCTACACTCACTGCTATCGTTCATTTTCTGAACCACAAATTCAAGTACCAACTCTGACTCTGAAGAAAATTGTTCTTAAGACCACAGCTTCATGCTCTAATGCCCTTGACTGCCCCCCACCTTCTTGCAGAGTGGTGTGCTCCACCCAAGCCTCGTCTCAAAGGGTAGGTGAGATAGTGATCATCATTGGGAGCGGTAATCAAACGGACTCAGAGGAGCCAGTCAAGGCTACATCGGAGGAACCATTCAGCTATGTGGTGAGTACGCTGGACAACTCCTAGGGTTATGGACCTTATTTATACGGGGTCACATCAATTTGAATGCTTAGATATATCAGACGTTGGACCGGAGACACAGAGGGCTCTGTTGGACTACGGGTGATACTAGCGCTTGCCCTGCGTTCAAAAATATATTTCGGATGCAAAACTTGGAATAATGTTTCATCCATATTTTAGAATCATCAATTACAGCTTATGTTCTCAACAAAACCTTCCATTTCTGTCTGTCCTGAAGTACTAACTTGGTAATTCAGGATAGACATAAAGGAAGGTTTTGTCTTTGATTTTTGGTTTGGATTTACAATCATCAAAAAAACCAACACTACCAAATTATACGAAATGCCTTACTTGACTGTATGTGAGTAAAAGTCTTAAGCATCCTGTGAAATCATATCACTTGATGTGCTGTCATTCGTAAGAAAAGTGGAATTTTTGTATCAATTTCCAACGATGGTCGGCCGACCATCGTTGGAACAGAGCCAACGTTTTTCCAGTGCTGCCTCCGATTTACCAAATTTAGTCCACATTTTGTTTGCAATCAGTTAAACATCCATGAACGGGTCCATCCCGGCTACACTTTATGAAATAACAGTAAGTGTGATTAATCGAACCTTGGAGAATTAACTGGAAGATCAACATTCACACACGAAGTGCTTGTGGGCGTGATGTGTTTTCTCAAAAACAGGATACTCTTATTTCTGCTCAAGTACTGCAAGGGGACGTTCAGACATTAGCCTTAATTCCCTAGGCATTTTCTGCGAGAAACTTCCCAAAATCTCTACAAATTTATCCCCTATCCAAAAACAAAGTTGCAAACTCTTTGCACCAAAACTTTTTGAGGGGCATCAATTCCCATGTAAAGTACATGTAATACTGGGTAGGTTTCTAATTAGATTAATCGCTTAAAACTTTCAAGAAAGACCTGGGCCCAATTTCATGGCTGTGCTTAAAGGGAATGTACATCATTGGTTTTTGATGTAATTTTCAGAAATGAACTATTTGAGGGGTTAGTAGATATAGATCAAATATAGTATGGTTCCCTGACTCCACAAAAGATAAAATGGATCAATTTATAGATGATGGAAAATTGTAAGGCACGGGAACCAGTCTAGCTGGCCTGCACCCGTTCATGAAACATGTAACCAATAGCAAACAAAATTTTGACTGAAAAAATGGTTAATTTGGAGCAGTAGTTGAAAAATAGTTAGGTTTTTCCAACGCTGGTCGGCCGACCACCGTTGGAAATGTATACAAAAATACCATTTTCTTGAAAATGACTTCACACCAGGTGCCATAATTTTACAAGATGCTTGAGACTGTCATTTACCAACATCCTAGTAAGGTATTTCGTAAAAACTTGGTAGTTTTATTTTTTCGATGTTTGCAAATGTTGTATATTCCCTTTAACATTAACATAAAACTCCCTGCTTACTGTAGTAGGAAATTTTGGTAAGCATATTTCACGGGTTAGCGAGGAATTTCGGCCTATGTGTATGTGTACATCTCTAAACTAAGGATTCTGTGCTTACAGGTTAAGGGCACAACTTACAGGTTAAGCGCACAAACTAAGGATTCTGTGCTTACAGGTTAAGCGCACAACTTACAGGTTAAGCGCACAAACTAAGGATTCTGTGCTTACAGGTTAAGCGCACAACTTACAGGTTAAGCGCACAAACTAAGGATTCTGTGCTTACAGGTTAAGCGCACAACTTACAGGTTAAGCGCACAAACTAAGGATTCTGTGCTTACAGGTTAAGCGCGCAACTTACAGGTTAAGCGCACAAACTTAGGATTCTGTGCTTACAGGTTAAGCGCACAACTTTCAATTAGCACAGAATGGTGATCGTAAGCGCGGAATTCCGTGGTTAGCAGAACCTTGAAATTAGGCCGTGGGGGATTGTGGAGGATATTGAAGGATAAAGGATTACTAGCTAACATCTAAAAATATCAGATCTCATAACGGAAAAATGAAAGTTGATATGTGTGATAATACAATTTGTGAAACCCCCCCCCCCTTCCATGGAAAAGGCTCCCCCCTTTCATGGAAAAGGCTTAAAGGGATATAGGATCATTTGCAAAAATTCAAAAGTGATAAACTGCCAAAATACGATGAAATCTCCCAGTTGATTGTAAGTAAATAATAGGATCACACATCCTGTGAAATCGTTGCACCTACATGTGCTTTGTGTTGAGAAAAATAAAGATGCATTTTTATGCAGTTTTCTCAAAAACTGTAATATCCACTGAGCTCAAAACTTCAATCGGTAAATGCTTGAACGTTCTTCTTTGGATTTTGAGTGGTGTTATTATAGGAAACGAATGAAATACATGAACTGCAAATGATCCTATATATGCGTTTAATTTAATCAGGGGGAAAAATGGTTTCCCTTCCAACACAAAACAGGAACCTCTTTATTTTTGTTCATCTTAGTTTCATTTTGTTTCAGGACATTACGACCATCATAGTTTCGGAAATAAAGATCTATAAATCATGACGATCCTGTGCCAAGTTACATGCTAAAGAAGTTTTCTAAATCGTCACTCAATCACCCAAAACATTCCATTTTCTTTTTGTGTGTTAGTATGCTCTTGTATGGGTTTACGATCGAGGATAGACACACAAGGGGAGAACAAAAGATCTTTTCAGTCCTGGAGACCTTGACCTTGGGTCTTTTGTTGAAAACGGTCCTCGATCGTACGGTTATGTGCTCAGTCTACGGGAGAGTGTTATATTATAGGGACAAAGGGAAACACAAAGCATTGTCCTCAAGCGTATAGATATTCACGACTGTGTGTATATGTGGGTTTGTTTCTGCATTCAATAGGGTCCCCACTTCCCGAAGGTCCCCAATTTGGCGAAGTGTACAAAACATATGGGAGCTCTTCCTAAAAAGGTTAAGTACAAACAAAAGAGGGACAATAGTGGGTCCCCGATTTACAGGCAAATACAGACGGCTAGGCATTACATTCACTGTGTGGACTTCCGTACAAAAGAGGTCCACATAAACCAGGTAGAGGAGACGTCGTGTGGACTTGGGCAAGTCCACACAGTGTATCCCCACTTCTGGAAAACAGGTTTTAGGGGCATTTTGGGGTTAGGTTTATCTGTGGCAAAATGAAGAGAAACACTAAAGGGGATCATAGAAAAATAAATGGGTTGAAAGAGTTTTCACAGTTTGAGAAAAATTTGTTTTTTTACTGGTTTTTCTTAACTACACGAAATCAAGGGAATATCCACACTTGGTATGTAACGTAAACATGTGTGTCTGTGCGTGTGTTTGTGTGTGGAATTGGCAACATACCTACTTGATAACATCCTGATGGAATCGTTTCTTGGATGTGTTTCTTTTTGTCCAATTTCCTCGTCAAGGTGCCAGAGCTGAGCTCGATGTCTCCAGCGTTTGGCCCAGCTTCAGGAGGAACCGTCGTCACCCTCACTGGCAAGCATCTGGATGCAGGCACAGATGTCATTACTGTCATAGGGGGCCCTGCCTGCCAACTTATAAGGTGAAACATTGAGGGCAAAGTTTGGATAGCGGAAGGATGTATTAAGACATTAGAAGGATGACATTAAATAACAAAACAACACAAACTACTACAACACAAAATGTAACTTATCAGATACCATTGTGGGTAGTATTTGATAGCAGAGGCTGAATTAGACATAAAAAAAAACAAAAACAAACCACAAAAAAAAAGAACAAAAACAAAGAAATGTTTGGATTTAATGAATTTGCGCAATCAACTTGAACTGTCATAGAGTGTAAAATGCCAACGCTAACTTAAAAAGCATTTACAGCATAAAATTTTAGCACATCTGTTCACATCTACTCACAAAAATGTGAGTAGATGGCTGAAAAAATGCCTGATATCTATGAGTTTGGATTATGTTGGATTTTAGCAGATTGAGGCTTTGTCTAGAACCTGGCTTCCAGGACTAAGGCTATGTGTATTGTCAGCATGTGTCAATGTTGTTAATTGTTAAAGACTAAGGGAATAGCTCTAGAGAACAGCTTTGGTTGCTGCCTGAGGTAAGTCAGTGCAAAACGGTGGACAACTCTTTACTTATCTCGTTATCCCAGCACAAGGCCTGTTGAAATTTGGCAGGTTCTGTCCAGTAAATACTGAACCTGTAGCTGTTGAAGTTTGTTAGGTTTGGTATGGTTTGTAGTGCAAGAGCCTAGGGGATTAAAGTCAAGGTACTAATGACATCAATAAATGTCTAACTTTGATCATTCTTCCCCCCTTTTTCAGTCGATCTTTGAATGAGTTGGTGTGTAAGACACCCAGTGGATCTATCGGCACATTTCCAGTACAAATGCTATTTGATGGTGAACCGAGCGACGCAAGTCTGGATTTCCAGTACAAGCAAGATCCGGCTATCTCTAGTCTGAATCGCTACAAGAGCATCAAAAGGCAAGTCATCTTTGTTTAAACCCATGGGCCCCATTGCCAACGATGGTGGGGCCGATCATAGTTGGAAATTGATACAAATATTCCACTTGTCGTGAAAATGACAGCACACCAGGCACCATGATTTCACAGGATGCTTGAGACTATTATTCACTACAGTCAAGTAAGGCCAAAAAAAAAAGTCTCCGGTTTCTGGTATTCGCGCGCGTCGCCGTAGCCATGCGCGTCGGCAAAATGAAAAAGTTTTTTTTTTCAATGAAAGATGATGTCTCAAAACCGCCAAATTCAATGGTTTGACTGGAATCCTGCTACTGCACAATTTTAACGTGTTTTTAGATAGGGTTATGATCGAGAATAAGCTTTATGTGGCCTCTCTGGACTCCCATATATTTGCACAAAGTTTAGTCGGGCACCATTTGCAGTCATCAGCCGACATTTGAAGCAAAAAAGTCAGGTAAAAAAAAAAAAAAGCTGCGTCGCCGCACCACTTTTTGGACAAGCTCTATACCAGAAACCGGAGACTTATTTTTTTTGGCCTAAGGTATTTCATAATAATTTTTTGTTTCACAAGTGTTTTATTTTATGTTTGCAAATACTGTATATTACGTTTAAGATTTTGAGCAAAATTTTGTAGCTTAAAAAAAAAAAAATGCACAAAAGCAAGTGGTTCTATTGTACCTTTAACCGGTATTCTGTGTTTCCTCCTTTGCAGTGGTGGGCTAGAAATCAAGGTGGTGGGAACCAATCTGAATGTGATACAGAACCCCAAGATACAGTTCACTATCAACAACGAGACCAACATCACCTTGGTAGGTACCCAGCCCCTCAGAACAAACGCAAGCGGTTTATTTTCTGGCTGCTCGTTGGACGCTCTTTTTATCAATACCTCATGTGCCATGATACATTGGTATGTTTAGGGTCAGCTTGAGCGTGTAGAGTATAAATTGAATTGTACTTTCTGGATGCATTGATAGTTTTAGCGGCTTAACCCATGCCGAGCATTAGGCCAAAAAAGAAAAATAAGTCGGTCTCAGGTCAGCGCGCGCGTCGATTTTAATCATGCGCGTCGATCTTTTTTTTTCTCCAAAATGTTCCGCGGTAGCTCCAACAGCGCCCTCTATTTCCGCACCTCCTCAATTTTTTTTTTACCAAAGAGCACCAAGGAATGGGAAATTGCACCAAGGCAAATAATCGAAAGCACCAAGGCAAATTATGGACGACACCAATGTACATGAGGACACCAAAAAAGCAAAATAGTACCCCACCTTGTCTGTACAATCCAAGCTTGAAGAAAGAAAAAAAAAAGCCCCCCAAAAAAAAGCCGCGTGGCCGCGTCAATTCCGGAACTTTGGTCTGACCAGAGACCGAATATTTTTTTTTTTGGCCTTACTAACATTGCTTAAACATCAAGATCAAGGTTTATCAACGATTGAGTTTGTAGCAAATGATTCAGTACCTACTAGGGCAAGAGAACAGCTAGCGGTAGCATACTGCTCATCAGCCGTGGGTACAAGATTGAATCACTACACACGCTAATAACAGCTACTTTAATTCTCACTTTGCAGGCTTGCAACATCCAGACCCCGACCTCCATGACCTGCCCTTCCCCGGACGTCAGCCCCTACGCGGTCCAGGCCGTGCCCAAGGCCAAGTACGGCTTTGTCCTGGACGGGGTCCAGAACTTCACCACCCTGAAGGACGTGACCGTGGTCCAGCCCTTTGAGTTTGTGCCCAATCCCCAATACTTCAAGTTTGAGGACGGCATCAAGAAGTTGTTGCTGGATCAGCAGACAATCATCCTGGAAATTCAGGTGAGCGTTGAACAAGTTCAAAGGGACACTGGGTCCTGGAACAGCCCAATTGGGCTACAAAATGCGCTTTGAACGAGAGGATGTTAATCGGAAAAAAAAACATTTAAAAGTAGGATATAAACATCCACACAACTATCCTTTCAAAACTGGGCGTTTTTGTGTTATCCCTGTATTATGCGTGAAGAACGAATATCGGGGTCCACTTTTGCGACCCCATAAATTCGAGCTGTTTGGATGCTAGTTGTGATTTCATTCGTAAAGTTTTCGCCTCTTGCGGACGTTGAAGAAACCATTTTTTTTTGCATTGGTGATTGATCACCGCTGTTCCCGAGACACACAACGTGTATATCGTACACTGAGAACGACACGAAAAACGTATTCGTACTCCGTCATGTCTGATGTAAACAAGCGGGGTTTTTTTTTCTTTTCTCGGGAACGGTAAGACATTAGGTTGGTTTCCTTTCAACCAGATGTTTGAAATAGGCTCAGTAAACAATAAAAACATACAATTTTCAGGGATTTTAGGACCTAGTGCCCCTTTAACAAAGCTTTGTTGAAATGAGGGAATATATAGGTAGATGGAGCACTTTTCGATAACAACATTTGCTTTTGCTGTAATTTTCAGAAATGGATGGATTTGGGAGGTGGTTAGTATTTTATAGCAAATATTGTTACACTGACTTGTTTTAAGTTTTGTGTTTGTAGATGCTGGAACAACCAAGAAAAACAATCATGTTCTTGTAGTCTGGTTCCCTGACCACACTCAAAATGAAACGGAGCAATTTATAGACATTGGGCAATTGTGAGGTCAGGGAACCAGTCTAGCTGGCTTGTACCCGCTCATAGGTGTGTAATCGATTGCAAACAAAATGAGGATTAAATATCTTAATTGGGGGCAGTATTGGAAAAAAGCCAAGTTTTTCCAACACTAATTGGCCGACCAGTTTTCTTGAAAATGTCAGCCCATCAGGTGCCATGATTTTGCAGTAGGCTTCAGACTGTTATTCACTAACAATCCAGTAAGGTATTTCATAAGTATTTGGTAGTTTTGTTTTTTGATGTTTGCAAATGTTGTATATTCCCTTTAAATGTCTGATATAAAATCGGGTAGGGGCCTGGTCACCGATAATGGCCCGATCTGAAACCCATTCAAAGATACCTTTTTAATTCAAAAAAACTTCTTAACAAAAAAATCAAAAATTGACAAAATTCTGACGATGTTTTGTTCAACAATGTAATAATCCATGTTCAGGCCACTTCTGTGGTGTGGGTCACGCACATGGTTTTACTCAACATCTCATTTTCGTCGTATTCTCGTTTATATCAGTGGTTCTCAAGCACCAGGTTGCAGTTAGCACACGAGGTGCATACTGCACGCATATGACGGGTAGCTACTTCTATGCGAGTATGCATGAGGTATAATAGAATCTTTGTCATCTTGAACCCACAGGGTGAGAACCTGACCCTCATTACCTACATGGAGGGAGACGTCAACGTGACAATAGGCGACGCAGTCTGTAAGGACGTGACTCTCATTACCAATAGGTTGACGTGTTACCCGCCGCCCACACAGCCGCAAAGCAAGACGGGAACCGAATTCCCTGAAGTTGTGGTAAGTCTTTGTTCTCCCCCCCCCCCCCATCTAAAAGTAAATCTTGCTTCTTTTACCATCAAGAGCATGTCTTGGGAGGCAAATTTTCTTCACAATGGTGAGAATCATCATGCAAGTGTTTTTAACCGAGGACAGAAACAAGTATCCAGACCGATACCTTTTGGCTACTTCCTGTGGCAATAGTTCCATTAAAACGCGCCAGCTGCTACGATGACGAATTAGTGACCTCAAGTTGATATCACAGCAGCGACGAAGAAGTTGCGTGTGGAGTTATACATGAGATGGAGTTTGCGTCGGGGTGATGTAAAATCAATACTGGGTTTTGCCCTTAACCGACTATTTTTTAGAAACAATGTATACTCAGCGCTGTCCCAAGTGATTGTGAGAAAAAAATTCACTAGCTCACTAGGATGGGACTCGAACCCACGACCTCCTGCTTACTAGTGCAGATGTCTTACCACTCGACCACCGAGCTTGCCGGGGTCGGCTGGGCTGGTTTGGAATCTGATATAGCAGCGAGTACCGCAGCCACTAACTCACTATCACTTGGGACAACACTGAGTAAACGGTGTTTATGAAATGCGTCGGTGAAGGGCAAAAACCCAATATTGATTTTACATTAGCCCAATGCAAATTTTATCTTATGAATAACTCCACAGCAACTTCATTGTCACTGCTGTGATTTCAACCCGTGGTCACTAATTCTTCGACAACCTGCCATTATGGTGTTCTAGAGGATTTGAAACCAATTCCTAATTCTGTCTGTTATGGTGCTCTGGAGGATTTGGAACCAATTCCTAATTCTGTCCGTTATGGTGCTCTAGAGGATTTGGAACCAATTCCTTATTCTAACAGTTGTTTTATGGCGAACACAAATGAATGTTGTCAGTTTCCAGTAATGTTTTATTTTATGAATTCTTTTCTTTCTTTTTTGTATATAGGTTTACCATGGTAACCTTAACTTCACCATCGGCCAGCTGGAGTATGTGGGTGAGGACTTCCTAGTCTTCATCCTGATCGGTGTAGGCATCTTCTTCATCATTGTCATCATCGTCTTCATCTTGTGTATCTCCTATCGCAAGGCCTTTGCCAACGACACCATCGTCAGGCAGATGGAGGCGCAGCGGGACCAGCTGGAACTACAGGTGGCACAGGAGTGCAAAGAAAGTAAGTCAAATGGACTCCCTCCGTCAATAGTACACAAATATTGAGTGGCTCAGAGTGGAATGGGACGTTGTAGTGATTCTGTATTGTCGTTCATTACTGATATTTTAGAGGTCTTTCCCTCACGGCCTTTTTGATGGATAAAAGTGGACTTGACCCTGAACGGAATCGCGAATCCCGTACGGAATTGCAATCAATTCCCACAATTTTGGAATCTCCCAAGCCTAGTGTGAAGTGTGCTCAGAAAAGTCTATTTTGAATGTGCACACACCCGCCCGTCTTCACATAAGGACCAGGTGTACAGCTGCAGTGTGTTCCGATCCTTAACTGAGTGAGGGGGGTACTTGGGCACGGAGTCCATCGCAAGCCAATTTAGGCTTGAAAGACTGCAGCATGGCCTCCCGCTTGCTAGTGCAAAGGTCTTAACACTCTGAGCTGGTTGAGGGTCGGCTGGTTGGGGGTCGGCTGGCTGGGGGTCGGCTGGCTGGGGGTCGGCTGGCTGGGGGTCGGCTGGCTGGGGGTCGGCTGGCTGGGGGTCGGCTGGCTGGGGGTCGGCTGGCTGGTTTGACTCTGATGCAGCAGTGGGTACTACAGTTATGAACAAATTTGTTTTTGTTGTTCAGTTGATGTCATTGTGTCTTTTCCCCACCTCCAGCATTTGCCGAGTTGCAGACAGACATGACCATCTTGACAGGCGATCTAGAGGCCATACCTTACAGGGAGTACCACAAGTACTGCATCAGGACTCTCTTCCCTGACCAACCCAACCACTGTGTGCTCAAGGAGCTGGCAGTAAGTACTGTACAGCTCACAGGGTCCAAATATTGGGCACATCTTTTGTTCATTTAATACTGACTCACAAGAACAAGAGGTCTGGCAAACATTGGGTAGCTACTTTTACTACTTGTACTCGAGATGACCACGGTCGGGGCTTTGCAATGGATTGGCCACTCCTCTCATAGTCTTCCATGCAGGAGTGCCAGCTTGCTTTCATTGTCAGTTCCAGTGTCCCTCTGGAACACTCCTACAAACAAGGTTTTCTGCCCCCCCCCCCAACACCCTGTCTGGTAAAGTGTAACAATTCCCAGAGCACCACCTGGCACACAGGCCACGTTCACAATGACTTGGCTCCGGCTTGTAATTGCACACGCGCCTATGGGAGTGACTGAAGTCACTTTCTATAGACATGTGTGTTACAGCTGTCCATAGCCAAGTCATTCGGATGTGGCCTTTTTTTTCAAGTCTTTGACTCGAGAGACTCTGGTACAGTATGGGTTCATTCTCTGCTGCAGGCTTGTCAAAATGGTGTTGAATGATGGTGTGAACAGTTAGAGTATTTTTATTCTATGGGATTTGAACATTTTTAATGATTCTAGGGGCGCAAATATAGTCAAGACTGGAGAAAAAAAGCCCAAGGTTTTAATGTCTCATTTGAAAGCTTAAGGTAATTTTAGCAGAAACGATTTCACTTTCAATTTCTTCGGTCACGCAAGAGGCCTAAAACTCTCAAATTGGGACAAAACACTTAACCGTTGAAAAGTCTTCGAAGACACTTCTAATCGGTTTACTTGAGTTTTGCACAATAGTTGTTTCAGATGCTGAGTGTGGTTTTTCTCTCGCCCTGACAGCTTGCAGGTGCCAGCAAGAACCAAGTCGAGCAGGGCCTGGTGATGTTTGAGCAGCTGGTCAGCAACAAGCAGTTCCTGCTGACCTTCATCCGCAGCCTGGAGGCCCAGAAGGGATTCACCCAGAAGGACAAGAGCAACGTGGCTTCCCTGATCATGGTGGCCCTGCAGGGCAAGATGGACTACTCCACGTCCATCCTCAAAGTCCTGCTCAAGGATCTGATTGAGAAACACGTTGAGAAGGACAGGGCTCGGCTACTCATGAGGAGGTGGGTAATCTTGCGGGTTCTGGGTGCTTGGTTGGTTTGTTTGTGCTGTTGTGTTGATTGTTTGTTTGTGGTGTCTTATTGTCTTTTTATGCTGTCTCCATTTTTGTGTCTGTTTTAATGTGTTGTGCTCTCCTTGTTTGTTTGTTTGTTTGCCCTTCATTATATGTTTGTTTTTCCTTTCTCCATGTTTTCTGTGTGTTTGTTTGTCATTCCTCATTGTCTGTGTGTTTTCCTTTCTCCTTGTCAGTTTGTTTGTCTTTCCTCATTGTCTGTTTGTTTTCCTTTCTCCTTGTGTGTTTGTTTGTCTTTCCTCATTGTCTTTGTTTTCTTTATTACTTGTTGTCTGTTTGTTTTGTCTTTTCTCATTGTTTGTTTTCCTTTCTCCTTGTTTTCTGGTTGTTATTTGTTTTTCCTCATCTGTTTGTTTGTTACACCTTGTTGACTGTTTGTTGGGCTGTTTGTTTGTTTTTCCTCCTTATGTTTGTGCATTTTCCTTGTTTGTGCATTTTCCTTGTTTGTGGTCCTCTTGTCGGTTTGTTTGTTCCACCTCATTGTCTGCTTGTTTGTCCTGCCTCTTCCTTCTTGTTTGTTTGTTTGTCCTTTCTCAAAATACAGGATACGATGACGTGTTTAAATGAAATGTACATTTCATGTATCTTAAAAACGTTCTGAAGCATATTTATAAGAGATATATTGCAATATCTGCAGTGATAATGAAAGGGTTAGTAGAAACTACAAGCATATGACTACAATGACTCAAGGAGAGGAATTGAGTGGAAGTGTTGCTTATCCATGGTGAGTATCTGACAAAATAACAAAAGTCCAAAAATATGCCATTCGGTTTGAGCGCATGCAGCTCAACTAACATAAATTTCCATGCTAATGAGCTGTGTCAGCATTAACTAAAAAAAAGCCAAAATTATTTTGAAATAATTAGAGACACCAGCACCAATTCAATGTTTGGGATCTGGCACAAGGAGCAAAACATTTTTTTCTTTGGGGGGTGGGGGGGGGGGTGGGGAAGGAGACCTCTGTGCTCATCTTTACAAGTATTAGGTTCAATCGGCAAAATTTGGTTAGTCACAAAAACATGTTTAATACTTAAGTCACTGTAGCGCCTGAATTTGCCCTGCCTATTACTCACTGTAGCGCCCTAAGCACTCTGTGCTTTTATTGATTTTTCAATATTTTGTAATACAATGAGGTCCAGGTCCTAAAGGGTTAAATAAACTTCAGGCATGCAACTTTTCCTCGGATCAGCTGATTTCCTCGTTTTTTTTTTTTTTTTCAATTCACACGGCATTAAAAATTGAAAAACACTGTATAAAGTCTTGTAAAGCATGGAATTTCCTATTTAAAAAAAAAAATTACTTCTCAATTACGTGCCTGAAACAGAACTTGCTCTTTGTATTCTTGAAAGTGGAGTCAGGTTGGCGTAGCTGTACTTTCCTCGTCTTCCACCGCTGTGACCCGGGTTTGAATCCCGCCTGGGCCAATGTGTGGATTGGGTTTTCAGTTCCTGCCTGATTCCCTGGGTTTTCCTGAGAATGTTCTTCGGGGGTTTTCCTCCCACATCTAAAACTGTAATTTCCTTGCATTGTCTTCTCTTTACTGGGCCCCTTGGGAGACCAGTGGTATCCACTGAATGGGCTAACCAGTTAAAATAAAAAATAAATAAATAAAACTTAATAAACAAAAAGTACACTTTTTATAATTTTAATTTTCTGCTAGAGTTGTCCTACCCATGCTCTTCAATATATTCATTTTGTTTCTTCCAACAAATTTCCAATTTGTATGTTTTATTTTATACAGGAAAAAGCTACCCTTTTTTTCTGATTTGTATGTTTTCAATGCTCTGAAAATACCATCTAATTTTGGGTTGTTTTTGCGCCAATAGTGCACAAGAGGTACTGCTGAATTATAGTCCGCTAATAATTCAAACGTTGTAAAGTAAAATTCAATCAGGGAGGATTTTTGAGTTTTGAGGTTTTACTCAAAAGTGAATAACTCTTGTGTTGCTAAAATAATGACAATTTAAAAACAAAATTTATTGTTTGGGGTGAAACTCGAAAATAACTTGGGGACAGCAACTTTGAGCAAACTCGCTGATTTTTATGATTAAACAAGTGATACCAGTTGAAATGTTTATACGTAAATAAACGTAAATATACGTTTATAAAAACATATTGTTCTTATAAGTTATACTTTTTCAATCTTGACCATATTTTATTGCATTGCTGAAATGCCTCTTTGATGGCAAACACAAAGTCTATGAGGCCGTCTTTCTTTTGTTTTCAACTATATTTGGTTTTCAAGAACCTGTTAATTAAACTTTAATCTGGACTTTTTTCCTCTGTATCAGTTAGACCCCCCCCCCCCCCCCAAAAGCCTTCGGTCTCTGGTATGGAGCTTGCCCCAAGAGTGGTGCGGCGACGCGGGCTTTTTTTTTGTTTTTTTTTTTTGTTTTTTCCCCCTACTTTTTTTTCTTCAAATGTCGGCTGATCATGTGTTGCAGATGACGCTTCGATCCTCTTGAAACTCTCACAAATATTCTTCAGGGTGAAGCTTGAGGTGACCTCAGTTAGGCCATAAAAACTTTACAATTCTGCACCCACCTACGATCTCAACCGACACGAACATTCTTTGGGAAATTTGGATAGTCCAGACAAAAATCAGAGAAAACGGTAACGTCAAACCATACAGCGACATCGACAATCGTGAATGTGCTGCCAGGCTGGTCATTAGCCTGCTCCCTTACATATTGCAGTAATTAAAAAGCGTTTACAGGTTCCAGATACACGACCATCGCTCCCTCAGTCTGGCTTCCAGACGCACAATTACAAAATTACAACACCGTCTGCAAATGGTGCCCGACTAAATTTAGTGCAAATATATGGGAGCCTGGAGAGGCCACATAAAGCTTATACTCGATCGTAACCCCATCTAAAAACGTGGTAAAATTGAGCAGCAGCAGGATTCCAGTCAAACCAGCGAGTTTGGCGGTTTTGTGAAATTATCTTACATTGAAAAAAAAAAACTTTTTAATTTTGCCGATGCGCATTGCTACGGCAATGCGCGCGGAGACCAGAAACCGGAGACTTTTTTTTTTTGGCCTTTGTCACCTTAATTTTTTTTTTATTGTGGAATATCAACACCTGTCACAACCTTCTCCTTTTTTGATAATTTTCTTCCTTTAACAAATTTGTATCCACTCCAGCATGTTCTCTTATACACTTGTGATTAGGTCTTTATTCTATGATCCTGATAATGGAATTTTAGACTCTTATGTACTCACAGTTTTGACATTTAAAATCCTCAAGAAATCTGTGAAGAGAAATTGATCAATTTCAATTCGGTCTGAGAGAAAAAAAAAAACAATTTTATTTTATTTTATGACATTCGCGAAAGTTGCAGTTTACACTGTAAAGCTATGCTCACTGTACATTACACACTTGCATCTTGCTGTATCGATGCACCGATGGGGTAGTACTATCGTGCGGACCTTTATGCACAATCTGAACGGCAACTTCCGAGATCTGAAGTTTTGGATTTGGTTTTTTTGAACGGGCACCCAGGTTCTTGTTTTTTGTTAAAATCGGGTACCCGGTTCCCGTACTACTCGTTAATGCACACCCTGGAACAATGATGAAGCTATTTGAGAGACTTCCAAATGCGTTTGTGTTTTGTGTACCTACAAAGCGGAGTGGATGATGAATTGCAGGATAGTGTATGAAGGATGTCGACTGTCATTTTGGAAAGTGGCCTCTTCAAGGCAAACACTTTATGTCAAACTGTATTGTGAATCGCTTATATTGTATGCCTGCACAATTTCTTTGCAGATAATAAGAGTTGTGTTGATAGCTGGAGCCAGCAATGTTTGTTTGAAAGATTAAGTCCTCTAACTGTCAATTTCTTTCAAAAGCCAATTCTGTCAGGATGCGAGAGTTAACTTTCAAGCCACTTAACATTTGTGGTTTGTCTTACTGAGATGAGATTCGTTGGATGACCGATAACTGGCTTTGTCTTCTCCCAGTTAGTCAAAGAAAGCAGACTATGTTAGACCAATAGATGGATCATAAAGCCACCCCCCCCCCTTGATGTCTTGACCAATCACAGCCATGATTACTTTCAGACGTGCATTCAAAAACGTCGGACATGCTCGAGAGGCACAGATGTCGTCCACAAGCGAAGTAGGCGTGGCTTAATTGATTGTTCTATTGTCTTTACATCTGCAGTCAGCTAATTTCTTATTTGAACATTTTGTTCGCTCTCAGGAATGAGTCAGTCGCTGAGAAGATGGTCAGCAACTGGCTGTCCTTCCTCCTCTACAACTTCATCCGTGAGAAGGCCGGCGAGCCGCTCTTCAAGCTGTTCTACGGTATCAAGCAGCAGATGGAGAAGGGACCGGTGGACGCGATCACCGGGGAAGCCCGCTACGGACTGAGTGAGGTCAAGGTCATCAGACAGCAGATCAACTACACTGTCATGGTAAGCTGGGTTGTTTACAATACCTCTAAGACGTCTTTACCCTTAAAAGGCAGAAGGGGAGATGGAGTCCAGCCACTATTTGCTTTCCGACATCATTGCGGGATGATTTTGGTTTTATGCTGTGCCTATAAGGCCGCCTCACGCTACAAAAAATCTCTTTGTGTTATACACAGGTCCGACGCGTGTAAACTAGACTGGCCTTTTCATACTTCAACATTTTAACATGGCACTGAACTGTGTTGAGCGTTCGATCCGTGTCGAAACTAACCCTGCTCGGGAGTAGGGTCGAGAGCTCTCGATCCGTGTAGAGAAGTCGGACACGTGTTAAAAGCCGTAGTAAAATAAAAACGTTTTTAAGGATAATCAATTAGCATCTTTCATTGTCACGAGTACAAAACTTGAAACTTTAAATTGGAAAAATTGCGGGTAACACCATGTGGTAAGAAATCTCTTCTTGGAAGAAGTGTGGTTCTGAAAAGAACCGGTTGGTTGAGTGTAGAACTCGACGTTTCGTACAGTGTGCTCTGTCTGTCCTCTGTCTCAACCTCCTGAGAACGGACAGAGCACACTGTCCGAAACGTTGAGTTATACACTCAACCAACCGGTTCTTTTCAGAACCACACTTCTTCCAAGAAGAATTTCTTTCCACATGGTGTTACCCGCAATTTTTCCTTTTTTAAAGGCCCTTTTTCTCAGTATTTTACTTTTTTTGACATGTTGATAAATGCAATCTTTATACAGCAATAACTTGTCAACAGATTGTCCAATTGAGGTGCAACAAACGGTTTTGTAAAGAGATTTCTATTCTCTTTCCTGATACCCACAAACTCTCTTTTCGACCTCTGTCTCATCTTGCCAGAACACCTCACAAATCTTCAACACTAGATGCCAAGAAATCTTGTTTTTGTTTTCCTTGACAGTGTACAAGAAAACAGTGAGCTAAAAGTTTGCACACTGTATGTACTAAGCATGAATGTCTACTAGCGTACCACATTTCTTAACAATTGGGCATCGCATCTCCGTGATCAGAAGGGGGTGATGCGGAGTGATTCTGATCAAAAAGAGTTGCTTCAAACACACATGCTATTACAGTTGTGAGACCTGATCTCCCACAATGAATTATCACTTGCCCGGTCTACATTGATACGAAGGTCTTAAGATCAACTTTTCAGATCCTCTTAATAATTTTTTTTTATTTGTAGATTTCAGGTCAGTGCAATCAGTAAGCAGGTTGCAGCAGTTTTGATTCATGTTTATTAAAAAAAAAGTACTGAATTTTGTCGATCCCAGGATGAATTTGCACCTTTTACCTTCAAGTGAGAGATTGCCACATCGATCCTCTCTGAACTATTCCTCCATCCTGTCCTTTCAGACCATCAACGCCATCGGCCTGAGCAAGGATGCAGGGCCAGTCCAGGTCAAGGTCCTGGACTTTGACACCATCTCCCAGGTCAAGGAGAAGATCTTAGATGCGCTGTACAAGACGACGCCTTACAGCCACAGACCGCCCAGGGAGGAATTAGACCTGGGTAAGAATTACTTCTGTTTCCAAATTTTGGATTTTTAACTTTGAAAAATCCAAGCCACAATCTCAGAAATGATAATATTGCTTGTTGTTGGATTAGCTCAAATTAATACCAGCTCTGCACTTTATTGGGTCTTTTTTTTTTCCTCTCACAGAATGGAAAGAAGAAGGTCGGATCTTACAGGATGATGATTGTAAGACAGAGGGAGAATGGAGAAGACTCAACATGCTCTGCAACTATCCAGGGGTAAAAACACTAAATGTGTTACAAGTGGAACAGTTCTTAATAGTCGGGGGTCTCAGGATCTGAATCACCCTGTCTACCTACCTATCCCTTCCCCCCTCAAAAACACCATAACGCTCCCCAACCCATGCCAACCCACCAGACAATATCCCCAATACTCCCCCTCCTTTTCCCCACCCCCTTCCCCCCCTTCCCCCCCCCCTTCCCCCGCCCCCTTCCTCTCCCCCCCCCCCCCCCCACCACCACCTTCCCCCCTCCCCTTCCCCTTCCCCCACCCAAAAATAAAAATCAAACAAGATAAACTACGAAATTAACAAAATATAAAATGACAATAACCACCTCTGCCCGACAAAAAGTATTTGTTTTTGTTTTGGATATCTCATATATTTTGACTGAAACCTTGCAATAATATCTTGAAACTAAAAAAATAATTAAGCACTGGATTACCCTCTCACATTGTCAAGGCCCCATGATGTTCAAGGGATTTGAAAAGTAATGTCTTATACGGGGCCTTTTGATCCCCCTTCATACAAAAAAATTGCTTTTAATATTCGTGTATTGTAGCTCATGATATTTTTCATTTTTTTCCCCCAGATTGTTGATGGTGCTACATTAGCACTGGTTCCCAAGCAGGGATTCACCATGTCCATATACTCAAATTCCAAACACTGTAAGTTAAAATGTCATTCATATGTTTTGAAAAAAAGAAAGATTTATTTTAGGAATCTGACTAGCACTTTTGTGAATACAGATTTTTTCTTTCTAACAATAGTCAAGTTACCAAAAACAAGAGTTGACTTGAAATCTATTTCATTGTATTGGGCCAATTCCAGGGGCCAATTTCGTAGAGCTGCTTAAGCACAAAATTTGCTTAAGCACAAAAACGTCTTGCTTAATAAAATCATGTTACCAGCCAAAACTCCATGCGATTGTTATGCTAAGTAAACAACAGCTAAATACCAGTCACAAACAATGTACATCACTTGGAGTTTTGGCCGGTAACCTAATTTTACTAAGCATTGTTTTTTCGTGCTTAAGCAAATTTTGTGCTTAAGTAGCCTTATGAAATTGGGCCCAGGTGGCTGTGAAGCTCAGGAGTTTGCTGCGCCCCAATAGCATTGCTTAGCAGAAACGGGTCGCCAGCTTAAATCTAATGCAGTGTACATTACTTATGACTGGCACCCCGTTGGTTTTTGCTAAGTACATAACATTTTCTAAGCAGTGTTCTACATACCCCGTGAAATTGGGTGAAGGATGTGGTTTGAATGTTGTGGTTCTAGAATGTGACATTAGCGTGAAGTCTTGAGACATATACACGATATTCCGATTCAACAAGCAACTGTATTTTTAATCTTCAGTTGCCATGCCAGCAGCCAATAGCCCCGCCCGTTCCGTGACCACACCCATGCTGTCGCCCGACGTGGACATCAACGGCACCAAGCTGTGGCATCTGGTCAAGCCGTCAGACTCGGACTACCACAAGTCTGGGGACAAGGTGCACAAGATGATGGCAGAGATCTACCTGCCCAGGCTACTGACTACCAAGGTAAAATACAAACTTGAGGCCGGCTCATACTCTGCGTAAAAAAGGGTACGCAAACGGGAATTTGTTTACATAGGCCCACTTCAATGGGGGTATGCATTGTGTTGGTCATTGTGTGGAGCAACCACCCAAGGAAGAATTGACCTTTTGCGGTAGAATGGTGTTTAAATCGCGTCGATGCAGCTTGTGAAATATTGTCCAATTGCATGATATACAAATGGATGCGGAACGCGCAAAATCTGAGACAAACAAAACTTAAAGTGTACAAAAACTCCACATGGTTGTCTAAGGGGCGTGACTTACTCGCAAACGGCGATAGGTCAATAGCTGGCACCATTGTGTTGCCATTACCACACACAAATAGTGACAAGTCATCACGAAACTGAGCTTAAAGTTGCAAATTGCCATTTTGCAGTACAGTGGGGCAAAACCAACATTTGAAGGGGTGGTCGACTTTTAGTGTTCTGTAGGTCCCGTTCTACCTTTTCCCAACTTTTTTTGTTCTGTCAAACATCTTTTAAACCCACTTCATCCTGGTTTCATGAGTTGACTGTTCATTCACTGTAACACAACTGCAGGATTTTTAAATGCCATTGTCTCAAGAATCGGTTTTACAACTTTCAAGTAAGTTGGTGGTCTATATTTCCATTACTGAACTCAGTTCCCTTAATGTTGTATACCATTAGAAAGCTCTTGTTCTGCAGAATCCAGATATATAAATAGCTCAATTCTGGAAAAAGTCTGACTTCAAGCTTAATTTTGGGATGACAGGTTATAATTTGATTGTTATTTATGTCTAAAAAAAATCCGACAAAACTGCGGAGTTTTCTTCCCCTTGGGTGAAATGACTACCATTTGAGGAAGTTGAAAAACAGCTGACAACTCTTACTCACAATGTACTGTGGGTAAAGCACGACTTGTGCTATGGACTGCAGCATTTCTGTGTCATTGAACTGCTCATAGCGAAAGTGAGACTTGCAAAAATGAGAAATAGATCTTGTTCTAAGGCCAAAAGTCTCCGGTTTCTGGTATGGAGCTTGCCCAAAAAGTGGTGCGGTGACACGGCTTTTTTTTTTTTTTTTTACCTGTTTTTTGTTTTGCTTCAAATGTCGGCGGATGACTGCAAAATGGTGCCCGACTAAACTTAGTGCAAATATATGGGAGTCCAGAGAGGCCACATAAAGCTTATTCTCGATCATAACCCCATCTAAAAACACGTTTAAATTGTGCAGCAGCAGGATTCCAGTCAAACCAGTGAGTTTGGTGGTTTTGAGACATCATTTTTCATTGAAAAAAAACTTTTTCATTTTGCCGACGCGCATGGCTACGGCGACGCGCGCGCATACCAGAAACCGGAGACTTATTTTTTTTGGCCTAATAGGCATAAAAATGAAAAATATAATTCCTGAAAGTTGTGAAGAAAACTGCTGAGGTCTTTTTTGCCAACTCCTTGGCTGTCAACCTTTGTCTCTTTTTTATCCTCTACAGGGTGTGCTCCAGACATTTGTGGACGAGCTGTTTGAGATGATCTTCAGCGTCAATCACCGTGGCAACACCTTACCCATCTGCATCAAGTATCTCTTTGATCTCCTTGACGACCAGGCAAGACATCACAACATCCAGAATCAGGACGTGGTCCATTCCTGGAAGAGCAACAGGTAAGGTTGCTGGGTTCCCAGCCAATCTGGATATCAAGGAAAACCTTGCAAAGAGGTTTCCATCTTTCCAGTCAGGAGAAACTCAGGGACTTTGGGGGAAAAAAACACCAAAAATCAAGGGATTTCAGGGAATTTGATAGTGACCCAGAAGGGAAAGGTTTCTGCCAGTTTGGTGTATGTGAGTCTTTTGCCGTGAGTCCAAGTTGTGTGAGGAAAGGATGGCTATAAGGGGAGAAGGGAGGCCATCGCTTGTTAACAAGTATCTTAGTTGCTTTGCTGCAACCAACTCTTGACTTCCCAGCAACCTCGTTAAAGTGAAATATTTTTTTCATGGAATTTTGGAAATTTCTCAGGTAAATATCAGGGAAAAATTCATGGAATTTTGTTTTCATAGAGTGCTGGGAACCCTGGATTGGCAAAACAGTCATCAAAGTATTTAATCCAACCATAGCTCTATAATCCAACTGCCAAGAGAAAAGATCATTGAATTGGCGCCAATTTCAAAAAGCCGCTTAGTACAGAAATTCGCTTAGCACAAATAAAGTTCGCTTAGTAGAAACAGGTTACCAGCCAGAATGTCATACAATTTACATTGCTTGTTGCTGGTACCCAGCAAATTTCTGCTTAGCGTAAAAATCAATATTTCCTGATAACTGGTTGTTTGAAATTGGCCTGTTCGTTAAACACTTCTTGCTTCCTCCTCTTTTCGCCGCAGCCTACCGCTGAGATTCTGGGTGAACCTCATCAAGAACCCAGACATCATCTTTGACATCTACAAGTCGGAGACAGTGGACGCCTGCCTGTCCATCATCGGTCAGACCCTGATGGACGCTTGCTCCGTCTCGGACCATCATCTGACCAAGGATTCATCCTCCAGTCGACTGCTGTATGCCAAGGACATACCCAAGTACAAGCAATGGGTGGGCAGGTATGTTGAGATTATTAATGTGACTTACTTTTATCCTTTTCTTTCTTTTCAGTCTTTCTAAATTGTAGCCCACATGTTCGAGTGGCTGCAGCCTCATTTTGGGGTGATTTCTATTTAAATTTGTGTACCCCTATCTTTTCCACAAATTCAACTCTTTTTTTTCCGTCAATAAATTTTCAAATTGAATGTGTTATTCCAACCAACCCTCTTTTGGATGTCTGCAAACCTCTGACAACAAAAGGAGTTTTTGTTTTGGGCACAAACAGATCCGCTTTGCAAGCAGACTGGCCCCCGGTTCATACGATACTGATTGCGGGGCGGGAACCAGCCTACCCCAGCCTACTGGCAGCCAATAATTCAAATTTCAAAGTAGTTATTCAATAACTAAACATGCGCCGATTTTTTTTCAGTGGATGGCTCATTCACAAGTGAATAACATTTGTTTTGCTAAAAAAAATAGCAATTTAGAAAAGGAATCCTGGGGGGGGGGGGGGTCGTGCAACTTAAAAAACAAAATATAGGGGTTTCCTCAATATGCACAGGTACTGTAGCTCGCAAGCCTGAATTAACCTAAAAATTTGATGATGAACAAATGTTCAGTTTTAGAGGTTGGAGGTAAACCGTGAGATAAAATTCCAGGGAAACCCTTGGAATCATGCAGCGACTGAAAAACTAAAATGCACGTCGGCCAGAATATAGATTATCACATGCACACTAATTTTGCATTCTCCCTTACCGCAACCGCCCTCACTCCTTTAAATCTGTCTATGAGCAGTTTTATCCTTAATATCACTGAGAACTGGCCACTGATGTTGAAACTAAACAATTTGCCGTCTTGATCCTTCCTCCATCTCCTAGGTATTTTGAGGACATCAAAGCCATGCCTGCCATCAGTGATCAAGACATGAGTGCAATGCTTTCTGAACATTCCCACGCCCACCAGTATGACTTCCACACCCACACAGCCCTGAATGAGCTCTACTTCTACTATGCAATCACCTACAAGAAACAGGTGCGTGCATTTTCACGAGGGTTCTCCGAAACCTAGGGTTTGTCACCGGACCAGCTTTGTCCGGCACAAAGGGGAATGTGGCCTGGTGGTTAGGGTTTGTGACTCGTGACTCGTGATCAGAGGGTCAGGGGTTCGAATCCAGCCGCTGGCGGTACGTTGTGTCCTTGGGCAAGCCACTTCACCCAAACTTGCCTCTCTCCACCCAGGAGTATAAATGGGTACCGGCATTAACTGGGAAGTAACCTGTGATGGACTGGCATCCCATCAAGTTGTTCTCAGTTGTTTTATTTCAAGGAAACTGAGATAAACGCTGGCCTGATGGGCCATATTGGCACGTGACAGACTTGACTACTTGACTTATAAGCAAAACCTTAACCACGAATCAGGAAATACTCTTAAACTTTTGGACTCGTCCCAATGCTCCAGAAGCAGAATGTAAATCCATATTGAGCTGGATTCCCTAAGTTAACAACCTTAAAATCTCTTGACGACGGAGACAAAGCCAAGTTTTGGACCCCCCCCCCCCCCCAAATCTATCTGTTTAACCCTAACCCTGCTCGATTCAACAACATTTTTGCAGAATTCTATTTAACATTTGAGGGTTGGGGTTCTAAACTCTTCACTCTTTGGCCGGTTTTGAAACGGTTTTTCGAAAAACTTTTGTGACCCAGGAGAATTTGAAGACAGCCAGCATTGCACTGGATAGCTCACTTGGTTGATAAATGGTTCCATGCCCCAGAGGTCTAAGGTTCAAATCCCTTTCAAACCAGTTTCTTTGCTCAAATCTATATTACATTTGAATTTTTTTTTATCTTCAGATCATTGAGGACCTGGAAGAAAACGACTACCCCAATCTGGCCGAGAAGTTTAGCACACTCTGTGATCAACTCAACAACACAGTGTAGAGGGACAGTCAACGGTCTCACCACAGGGGGCTGCAGGTAGGGCACTTAGGGTAAGGTCACTTGGGTGACAATCATCTCTCACCACTCTGAACTTGGAATGGCACATGGCACATGGGTTACTGCCGCAGGAAGTTTGGTCATGTTAGTCTGGGATGCAGGATCTTTTGGGAGGGTAAGGTGGTCAGGTCATGTGGGTGAGAATCACGTCTCACCACTCTAAACTTGAAATTGCACATGGGTTTACTGCCAAAGGAACATTGGTCATGCTAGTCCGGGATGCAGGTATATAAGATATTTTGGAAGGGTGCTGTAGTCAGGTCACTTGGGTGAGCATCACCTCTCACCACTCTAAACTTGAAATTGCACATGGGTTTACTGCCAAAGGAACATTGGTCATGCTAGTCCGGGATGCAGGTATATAAGATATTTTGGAAGGGTGCTGTAGTCAGGTCACTTGGGTGAGCATCACCTCTCACCACTCTAAACTTGAAATTGCACATGGGTTTACTGCCAAAGGAACATTGGTCATGCTAGTCCGGGATGCAGGTATATAAGATATTTTGGAAGGGTGCTGTAGTCAGGTCACTTGGGTGAGCATCACGTCTCACCACTCTAAACTTGAAATTGCACATGGGTTTACTGCCAAAGGAACATTGGTCATGCTAGTCCGGGATGCAGGTATATAAGATATTTTGGAAGGGTGCTGTAGTCAGGTCACTTGGGTGAGCATCACCTCTCACCACTCTAAACTTGAAATTGCACATGGGTTACTGCCAAAGGAAGTTTGGTCATGTTAGTCCGGGGTGCAGTCCTTACAAAAAAACCAGGAGTTTTCGGTAGGGTACTCTGGTTAGGTCATTTGGGTGGCAATCACATTCACCACTGTGACCTACTTTTGATAAACAATAGCGGTTGATCATGTTAGTGTAGTGTGCGTGATGAGACTTTCTTTACGTTTCGTCGTAAATTGCACTTAAGTCTTGAAAAATTCTGCGCATCCAAAATGAACTTGACTTTTGGAGAGTTTTTGAGTACAACAAGTTTAACACATTGCGACTGTCTTGGTCTTTTTCTATTGATTAGATTTGACCCAAGTCGTGCATGGATTGGAGCAACTTTTTTTTAAGAGAGACGTCAGCATGGACGTGAGCTCAGACAAAACACATGCAGAGACTTGGTCAAGTCTAACAGTGGGGCCTGCAGGATCCAGCACCAGACACCGGCCTTGTCAACTGGTACCCGTGCTGACTTTGTCCGGCACACCCAAGTTACCCATCAATTGTTTATAGACACTATTGGTGTTAAATGAGTCTTGGTGTGCAGTCAAATGCATACAAAAGATGGTTTGTGATTGGACATTATTGTTTGCTGTAAATTGGTTTTCGTGCTCAAGAATTTTTATGATAAATGCTTTTGGAATATGCCTTGAAATGTGTTGTATTATTCTGACTTGAAATGGTCCAAAATTGTCGTCTGTTGCTCATGCTCTTTTTGTCGTTATAGCACTCGATGTGGAAAATATGAACTTTTTAGAGAGATGTTGACTGTTCCATGAATTGTATGTGTTTTGATTTTTGTATGGTTTTTCTTTTTGGTGATGGTGCTTTGTATGTTGCCATGGACACCAGTAGCTGTAATAATTCATAATCTGGTCCTTGTCTTGTAACTATTGTAACGAACAACTGTGTTTTGTGACAAAGAGCAAATCTGAACTTCGGATGATTGTTTTAGCTTCCCTGCAACTGCAGTCACAGATAAATTGAATCAGACTACTCTCCAAACAATTGTTATTAATGTGAAGACATAGTTACCAGCAAATCTACACCTTGGGTTAAATGGAAACCGTTTATAAATAGACTAAGATAGTTATCAATGAAACGAAGTATGGGACACAATACATCAATACTAAATTGGCATCCGTCTGTAATGACAAAATTGCAAACTGTACATATGCTTCTTATTCGAATTACCCCTTATTTTTTTTATTCAGTTGCTGTAGAACAATTTAGGATTTCTATGGATCAGTGTCACTGCTGAGATTTCAGACGGTCAAATTCAATGTCTAGAACATTCCTCGTGTTCTCTGTATGTTGTATTCTATGTGGTAGGCGAGCATAACGTGAGCAAAAAATAATAACAAAGTATGTTTAATGTGATCATCATTGTAAAATAGTGCTTATAAACTTGATTCTAAATTCTTATATACTGGCAAAGTGTACATAGATTTTTCTGCGTGTGATTGGGGAATTTTTTCCCCCCAGGAAATGAGCCTGTTTTGTTTTTTTAAAAATAAATTGGCATTTTTTTCTGGGAGTTGTTTAATAATACAAGAGATGATGCAATTATAAAGATATTAAAAAAAACAAAAATAATTGTATAACCCAAAGCATTGTATTTATGGGTGTATTAATGACGTAGTGTAATGAAGTAGAGGCAGGACTGACTAAGGACTGTGGTTTGTTCTTTGTTAACGTGTTGAGATCTGTTCATATTTGGCGCAAAAAGTGAACAGGAAGTATTTGCACTACAAATTCACAAAGATTGCACATTTTTTCACCAACGGCAAATTCCGCAGAGAACGTGTTTCCTGACGTCGAATTTACCTTACGTTTGCATTCGCGTGAAGTATGAAGTGGGCTTACATGCGGATCGGTGCAAATTGGGCTTGTATGGGCTTCAGTCAATGTTTAGGGCCAGGCTTTGGGTGCAGTGTTAAAAGCCCATTGGCCTGAACTTGGCCTGAACCGTGGTGAGATTCGCTGCTAAGCGTAGATTTCTGGAGTCGTACATAAAAATTGGGGGCTGATTTCAAATAGCTTCTCTGTAAATTTCTGCTAAGCAAAGTACACACGGTTTCATTAAAGCAAAATTTAAAAAACTGTCAGTCGTTGAGCATGTTGTAGAGACTTAATTCTATACCGTCAAGTTCGTTGAACAAACTTTAATGCTATCGTAGTGATTAGTTGAGTAGTCTACCACCGATGACAATGTATACAAATAAAGAATTGTTAATAACATTTATACTATTGCTGTATAGTCACAAAAAAAGATGTACATTTTCTTGTGTTTGTCACTTGTGTTGCATATACAGACCAAGTCTGACGTAGCGCTTTTTTACCAATTCAAAATATCTTGCTTTCTGTACCTTGCTTTTTTTTTTCTTTTTTTTTCGTGGGAACAATTTTTTTCTCTTTTCATATAGCAAGTTTTATCGTCTTTCAGTTATGTAGTTTCACAATTATACATGTATAAGCAATAATTGATTTTTTGAAATATTGACGTTATGTGACCCATATGGGGCCACTTTTATGCATGCTTAGATAAAAGGAATTTGTGCTTGTTTTCTTTTTTGTTCCAATTAGTTTTAATAAGCCCTATTTCATAAATAATTCTCTGTTGGCTCTAATTACAATAAAAGAGGATGCCTGTAAGAAACTAAAGTTGCTGTCACAATCATGAAACTTATTTTAACAGTTCCCAGTTGTTCTCGGATACTTAAATTTGAATTTGGTTTGTTCCTCATTCCTCGTTTTTCTGTGTTTGTGCAAAATTCACCAAATTGTCAAAGCAACATAACTGGACAACCAATCTGTAAGTAAAATATTTTGGTCACAGGTTTTTCAGATATTTTTGGTGAACACTCTAGCTTTAATGCATTTACAGAACATCTGTGTAGCACCTGTAAAACTTGTCAGAAGTGAGGACAAAAATAATAATATCATAATGCAATGTTTAAAAGTTAGTTAAAATTGACAGCTGTTTTGTAGGGTCATGTGTGTGCCTGTGTACACTTCATATGTATAAGTCTGGTTTTAGTAGGTCTGTCAAGATATTAAAAGCTACTATGCCATTTTGTCAAATAAATTTTTACAATGTACAGAAATCAACAGACAATTTTGAAACACTTGTTCAGAGAAACTTGTGATTCTGTGATTATATTTCCACATGAACAAAGAGATATTTTGCATTAGTCTACCCAAAAAGCAATTGATAGAAGAAAAATGTCGGAAGGTATAACGTCCTTAAAAGTGTTTGTGTGCTAAACAAACTGAATATGTATGGTTGGGGTGTACTGTTTCGCATTGGAAGTACACTTGCATGTGGATACGTGTATATGTTTATGCCATGTCTTTAAGATCTATATAAGGGATCTAACATTTCGCTGTTCCAAAAGTGTATGGTAAAATAGGTGTGTATTGTCTGACTGACTTCTCAAAATTGTCTAAATGCCAAACTTATTTTACATACATTTTGTATATAAATCAGCAATTTTAGTTGTTTTTTTAACAAATGCATGTGGGGTTGATTTTTGTTAGGTGTGGGGTCACTTTTTTTAACCTTGGGAACTGTTGCCATGGGAACATCTGTACCAATGGTCAGTGAGTATTTTTTTGGTTTGTGTATTGTTTTAAACAAATATGATTTTCTTTCTTTCTTTTGTTATGAAAAATGAAAAATGGATAAGTCATGATTTTGGTGACTAATAAATTGTCGGTTTCTAATTAGAGCTGATTTGTGAAAATACACAGAGTGGTCAGTTTTGTTTCAGTATCTCCTGTGGAACCCATGTTGTTTTAAAATGTTGACGATGGGCGTCACGAAGGGGGGGGGGGGGAGCAAGAGGGTAATTCAAGCTTCAATTTGATGTTTTCTTTGATGGGCCCATGCAATGTAAAATGGAATTTTGCATCAGGGTGATATTAATCAAATTAGGTTTTGCCCTTCACCGACATTTAAACACTGTATACTCAGTGTGTTACCTCCTGAGTGAAAGTTGGAAAAAATCACTCGGGTGGGACTCGAACCCATGACCTCCTGCTTTCTAGTGCAGATGTCTTACCACTCGACCACCGAGCTAACGGGATCGGTTGGCTGGTTCGAATCTGATGTACATAGCAGCGGGTACCGCATAAACTATGCGGTACCGATCCCGTTAGCTCGGTGGTCGAGTGGTAAGACATCTGCACTAGAAAGCAGGAGGTCGTGGGTTTGAGTCCCACCCGAGTGATTTTTTCCAACTTTCACTCGGGAGGTAACATACTGAGTATACAGTGTTTAAACGGGCAAAACCTAATTGGGCCCATGCAATGTAATTGTGTCGCCTAAACAAAGTTTTGGGAGACACCAGTCCTAAATTCTGTATGACCGTACACACCAGAGCTACTTGTGGGGTACTGCTCACAAAAGGAACAAAGGTGCTGACTTGTACCCCACAATTTTTCTTTTGAAAAACAGTACAGCAATGCAAGTACCCGAGAACTCCCATTTGCTGGAATGACCGTATGTCTCTAAGTTTCGGTTCAGTAGTTTGAAGGGAAAAAAAGTATTACTTCTACATGCTTTCATGGACTTTGATGAAACTTGGATGCAGTGACCCCTTTGGGTGGGAAGACACAATTCTTCATCAGATTACTGAGGTCAAAGGTCATGTAGGGGTCTTCAGATGTTGTTCAAATATGATTCAAATGTTTCTTTGTCTACAGAATTTGATGGATTTTAATGTCACTTGGATGGAGTGATCCTTGGGTGGGGGTTCATCACAACTCGTCCTTGAAATGCACCTTTGTGTCCCATTTAACCTTATTTTCAATTTCCATTTTGCCATTTTCAAGTGTATTTTGGTGCCTTTTTGGTTGTTATGCTAATGCAAATTTCCATATTCAGGAGCAAATATGTGATGTCATTTCAGGCAGAAACCTCAATGTTATAGCTATTTCAGTACCAAAATGTGCCAAAATTTGGGATATTTTGCTGTCTTAAATTTTCGTTTCCTTGGTGATTCTCTGTTGTTTCAGTACATGACAGTAGGCTAATAGCAAAGTTTTCTCTCACAAATGTTTTCAGTGAGCAAATTTTGGACTCACAATTTGAACAGTAAATCTTAAACTGAACAGTGTCTGAAATGACATCAGTCACATCAACAGCGCCCTCAGTTGTCAGGAAAAGCATGGACAATTTTAAATGTTTAAAAAAAAGGGCACTTTTCAATAAAATTAACCAAAAAGGTTAATAGTTTTCATATGTTTAAGAGAAGTAGAAAGTTGCGCACAATATGTTTCCGAGTAAAATTCATCTCATGATACCTTTAACGACTTTGGGAGTTATATTTCTTCTCTGATTTTTGGATGTGAGGATATTTATGACTATGTCAATGGCACTTAAATAACTAGTCTGCATCTCGTATACCTGCAAGATTTGAGGCAGAGGCGATACCCCAGTGTCCCTGTACCCTATACACACTCTACTAGACTATTGTTACCTTAGATATCTCAAAAGAATTCCTGAGATTCCAGGAACACAATGACCAACACAAAAGGTGGGGGCGGTCCAGTCCCATCCCACATCTTGCTTCAAATGGCATCTCAAAGCAAATGCAACTAGAGTTTCAACTGTGAGGCATTCAAGACTAGTTATATGTTAAATCGAGGGGTCTGGATGTTTTGTTCTGGATCGGCAGTCCTTGGATGCAAGATAGACGTGCAAAAATTCGGTACGTCCGATTTTTAACCAAATGTTCTCTTTGGTAAAAACTACATTTCACACAGTAATAAGAGAAAGACTCACAATGCAACGTAACCTTTTCTTTTCTTTTATTTCATTTCAAAAGAAAAAATCAATTTGAAACATAAATTACTAAGTCTTGAGCCAGTTATTCAATTGAGTCCATCCTGGTTACACATGTAAATGTAAACATGCTTAACCAAAAGAAAGGGTGTTTTAAGGTTACAGATTTTGAAAATTCGGAGCAATCTTAAAACTGCTTTATGTTGGTTGCTACAAATATTTGGACGGAAGACCTTTTTGTACATAAATCATCATGTTTTTGTTGAAGGATTTTTCTTAAGGTCGAAATATAGTTGGCACTCGAGTTGATAAAAGAGAGGGTCTTTTGTTGGATCAAACATGGTCTAGCCTTGCTTTGTCTAGGAATGCAATCATTTAGCACAGTTTAAGTAAATTTTTCAATTAAATTGCCAAAAAAAAAAAATTAAAAAAAAATTGCAAATCCAATCACTTTAATAGAATATTTTTCTTTCTTTACAGACGGCAAGAAAATAAATTATTTATTTAAAAAAATGAAGAAAAAAAACTGGTAAGAGATGAATGTTTACAGAAATGTATTTTTTCTAACTGTCTTCAAGATAAATAAAGTAAGCAATAAGTTGTCACAAATAAGGCCAATGTTCAATTCACAACTTTTTGTCCTCAAAAGTTGAAGTCAAAATCTCACCTCTAAAATAAAAAGTAGCAAAGAAAACACATTTTTACTTTTTTTTCTAATAAAGTAGGGTTCATAAAAATTCACATTCAACAACCATTGGTATTTGTGTCTGTTCTTACCCAAAAGACTATAACAGAAAAGTCGACTCGGAAATAGTTTTGTCAACAGAACGTACCCTGTTTGACGTGTCATTTAACTCTACGGGGTAAAAAAAAAACATTTGCAGAAAACTAATGATAACAAAACCACATATCGGTTACAAAATTCTACGAGAGGTCTTTAATTAATGCATAACAAAATTAAGCAGCATTGTTACTTTTTCCTTGAAGGAAAGATCCTTTACATTTTACTAAGTTGAGATGTCAATGATAAACGAATGATCCTCTTTTAAATTATTCCCCCCCCCCCCAAAAAAAAAATCAATGCTTTTGAATAAGCAGACCAAAACTTAAAAATTAATACAAATAACTTAAAAATAAATAAAAGAAATAGTTATATAATAATTACATAGTTTTAAAGGCAAACGTTCTACACCGTTCAGGTACTATGGGTGTGCCCCTCAAAGTGTTAAAAAAAAACAATACAAAACAAAACTTATGAGCTTCACTTAGCACGTTTTTGACAAGGCTAAGAGAATTTGACCGAGTTGGAATTGGTAACAACAGCAATATTGCTGAAATCTTGTTTAATACATTTGTACATGCAGTTCTGAATAAGAAAAAACAATTGCTGTACAGTTTAATCCTATCTTCAAACAAAAAGTTTTAACTCCGGATTAAAAAAGATACAAACATCATTGTAGAAATTATTATTCATCTATAATACAAGATTTCATTGTCTGTACAGGGAGGTCAAAGCAATGTTTGACCCTGAAATGGAAGTTGTTATTATTCTACAGAAAATACTTGGTATTTTGATGACTTTTCAGGATAATATGTACATGTATACATATAACTCAGGCAGTAATTGCACATAAATTCACCATTCATCCCAAATCTTGAGCTGCCTTTCCAGTAGTCAATTTTCAACCCTTTTCGTCGGATTGGATTCAATTCTTTGTATACAGTGAGTGGGCATACATGTATTAAAAGGACATCCATTGCGCATTTTCTTTATTTTGTCTAATTAAAGTAATTAACTCTGTAGTTAATGAGTTAGGTAATCAAGCAAGTAATTAAGATAATGTGTAGACACTAGATTAAACTACCATTATGGGATGCATAACATAATACTTATGTTCAGTGAATCAGACACACTTTGGAATATTCAAAACATTTTGCTGACGATACTCAAATCATCGCTGTTGTTTTGTTGCTAGTGCCTCACAATCTTCCAAACGTTTTCAGAAAGAAAAGGTCACTTATCCCAATGAATGGCTTTCTGTTTTTGTGTTGTTTTGCAAAATTTCATAAACAAAGCTGTCAAGTCCATAAACATAAATTGTATTGACAAAAAGCCAAAGTCAAAATCAATGAATTCATTGAAAGTTGCTTGATATACAGTGAACATCAAAAATAATAATTAAAAATAAACATGCTTGCAAATGTCACGAAGATTAGTTGCTTCATACAAATGTGTCCATATCAACAAGCTCAATTTACTTCCACTATTCTTTTTCCTCTTCCAAATTCCTCCACTGCCAAATAAGAGGAACCAGACGTCAAAACAACGAAATCAAAAACTATTGACATTAATTTGACTTGTTATCGACTCAAGCAAGGAGCGCACAAAATAATCAACTTTCAATTTGCGTAGCAAAGGGCTAAAAATAATGGGTGTCCTGCACACACACACACATGCGTGCACGCGTGAGGCACTATTCGCTTTGGCCACAGACGTCATTTTACACAAACCCTTAATTAAAATTTCAGCCCAATACATCTGCTGAGAACGTGGTTTATTTATCTGCCAGATGCTTTGGACATTCTTGGCAGTGAGTTTTCTGGAAGTCAGGGTGACGGGAAGATCGGAACGTCATCTTGTAATGAGAAGACAAGTGGATCTCTTGGAATGTAGTATCTGTTTCTCCAATCCCAGCGGCCGGGGATGGCACGCGACTTTCATAAATGTTTGGCTCGCTGCTTGGACGTTTCTCAGAACATTTCTGTCTCGCTATATTTAAACGGTTTGTTTCAACAGGGATAATCTGGAATTAGACGACCAGTTACAGAATTAGATTTTCTTGGATATTGTTGCAAGCCTTGTTTTGGGATAAGACCAATTTGGTTTTGCTAAAAATAACATTTTTTTAAACTTTAAGTAAAAATTAGAATAAATAAGCAACAACATATTTGGGTTCAAACTGAAATCAAATTTTAAATGTGAAAAATTCCCTCATTTTGTCAAAGTCCACTTGTGAAAGTCCCTGAATAATGAAAATTGGGGATTTTTTTTTTAATTTCCCCAGATCACTTAATCAAAAGTGAATTCATTTGCTGTGCATCATTAAAGGACAGTTGAAACCCTGTTTACATCTATTGCATTATAAAGTTGTAAAAATTGAAGTAAATTTCACATGACAGCTTGAGATATTCTCAGAGCTTTTTGATAGACCTCCAATAATTCTGCATCCATTGCACTCATGAGTTCATCCTTGGTGTAATTCTCCTCGTCTCCCTGGTCGGCCGTTGATGAGGATGCCTCCCCGTCCGTTGTCGTCGACGCTTTGACCTCCTCGACTGAATATTGAAATTTCTTGGCCACGGTGGGCGTGCGCAGGCTGGGCGAGTCCAGAATGCCCAGGATATCCTCGTTACTGGAGCAGGAGGAGTTGTGTTCCAGAGTTGCCTCGTCCTTGTCACCATCCACAGTTTTCGGCGGAGCTTTGATCTCTGAGCTGCTTGCCACAGCGGGGGTGTAAATGGACTCCCAAATCTTGGTGACTCGCGAGTACTTCCCCCGCGAGTGACGTCGGGTGATCTTGCAGACGTACTTGAGACGGTTGGGCTCTCGGAGTTGACATGTCTCCTGGCTTGGTTTCTCGTTGAGCAAGCAGCAGGCTGAGAGATCCTGATCGATTCCGGAGTCTCTTTTATTCTTCTCCTTCGCTCCATCTCTGTCTCGCTCCGTGCTGGACTCTAAGCTTGCACTGCTCTTATTCTGTCCGGACTCATTAATCCCTAATCCACTGTCTCCTCCACTGTCTTTTCCTTGTTTCTTCAAGATGCCCTTTTTCACCCGTGGCTTTCCGCCATCCTCCCTTTCCCCCGCGGGACTCACTCGGTCCTCCTCACGTCTCCGGTATGACTCCCTCCCTGTGGAGGACCCCAACCCGCTGTCGCTGGACCCGAGCCTGTGACTGGACCTCCGCAGCGATTTCTTTAAGATACTCGTTAGCGGCTTCTTGACAGTCGCTTGCAATGAGTCTACCAGAGATCTGTCCCCCTGGGTTTTGACGTTACTGTGCACAGCACCAGTGCCGCTTTCACGGTATTCCTGTTCTTGTTGGCAGCAGATATCCGGGATTTTCCGGCCGGGAAGTGGCCTGTCCCTGAGCCAGGGGTCGTTCAGGATCCCGTCAATCGTGATCCTCTTCCTTGGGTCCACTGTCAGCATGCGATGGATCAAATCTGAGGCATCTGGAGATAAGGAAAGTCAAACCAAAGTGACAAATAGCACGAATGACATCACTGAACTATGCAACATGGTAAACTAAGCCCTGTCTTTCAAAACGATTTTGTTGAATGCTTTATATTCTTGTTAGTAACAATTTTCATGTGATAAACTGTTCAAATTTCAGATTCATTTTGTTCTCTTCTTTTTTTTTACTTGGGAAAAGGCAAAGAAGAAAGGGGAGCAGTTGCTAAGGGCAAACTCTTGGGTAAACACAAACAAGGGATTTAATGTCTACAAGAGTCATCTCTGCCTAAAGTAGCTACCTTCTGAACCAATATGGGCACTTCTTTTAACACCAGCTTACAACATAAGCTACTATTCGAGTAAAAATGGGTTACAAAATAACTAATTCTTATGCAGGTTTGCAGCTGGGAAGAAAGGGGAAAAAAATCAGGAAATTCCAAACTTTACAAGACTTTGTAGAGTGTTTTTCAATTTTTAATGGCATAAACGTGAAGTGAAAAACTGAGGAAATCAGCTGATCTGAGGAAAAGTTGCGCGCCTAGCATAGAAGTCAAATTTGTTTGTACCTGATGTGCTGGCGGGTTCAAAGAAATCTCCCCCTGTGATCTGGGACTTGAGTTGTGCAAAGTCGGCCCCGTGGAACGGCATGGTCCTGTAGACCATGGCGTATAGAATCACGCCGAGGCTCCAGCAATCCACCTGGCAGGGAGAAACGCAACAAAAAGGAACAATTTGAACAGCTGCTGCGTCAATATTTGGAACAGATGTTCTGTGCTGGCTGACCACAATGTGTGCTGAACGTGTTTGAGTGTTTGCAACACCGCGATTGCGGGGTAAAGGGAAATTTGCAAATCTGTTACCCTGATGTGAAAAATATCGTTAAAAATTAATTTTTGTGTGGAAGGGCACATATTTGGAATTCCGGGTTTGTTTGGGTCGACAGTATTTGAGACTGCAAAAACTGACGGCAGCGACAGTTGTTGGAGTCTCAAAAGAAGACAGGGATATTTTGAAAGAATTGTCTGCAACATGTGCACAGTCGGGGAGATGTTTAGTTCCAGTCAAAGAATGAGATCTACATGTATAATCCAAGGACAAAATAATGAATAGATCTTGATTTTATCAAACCAATCATGTGACAGAACTTCAATGAAAAAGAACCTTTCATGCATTGACATGTGCATTGCACATGTATAAGTTATTCTTTTCTTGTCATCAATGATGCAAATTAATGTATAACATTCTTGACTTGGTCATATTAAAATGACTAGACTAGTGGCCTGGCTTATCAAACTGACAGCCCCAATTACAGAAACTAATTAAAGTTTACCGGCTGAGAACAACCAAGTGTTTATAATTAGTAACTGGGTGCTGATTTATACAGCCTCTTTAATTAGCAGGAAAAAATTTGCCTGGTGGAATTTACATGGGGGTCAGCCGACGCAAAAGAAAGTACATGTGTACACAGCATACTGGCTGGTCCTCTCTTTTTGCTTAACAACATCTTTCAGTGCCACATGTAGGGTACCACTTATTTGAAATATATTTCAATGAAATACAGCAAATGTTTTTATTCGCTAGATAATTTTTTTTTAAAAGGAAATTGAAGAAAATTGTCAGGACAGTGTATCCCTCCTAGATCATTCCTAATCAACAAGGATGTTTTATAGGAATTTGTAGGATTGAGGATTGAGCCCAGCCAAAGACCAATGGGCGCGCTACCAATTCTATCATGAAGGCCCCTTCAATGGCAAAAGCATTGTGCTAGCTATTGTTCAGATAATCCATTTCTGTGCAGTTGCTTATTTTTACATTTTTACAAAAGCGTGCAATTGAGGATTTGAGAATTGAGAATTTGGGAGGATGTTGGAGGATTCCTTGCAATAAGTCCCAGGAATCGGGGTACTGGTACTTTTAAGATTTTGTGTTCAGCGTTCCTACCTCTGGTCCATGGTAGGGAGTTCCGTTGATGATCTCGGGCGATGCGTACAGCGGGCTGCCGCAGAACGTGTCCAAGAGACGATTGTGACCAAAGGTACTGGACAGGCCAAAGTCAGCGATCTGAAATGACCAAAGAATGAGAAAGGAACATGGTTGGTTAGAATTGTTTATTTATTTCTGGTAATGCAACCAAGGACATCTCAAAAGCACCCAAGGCAGAACAGAGGTTAACCAATAAATAAAGGGATGACTTTAAAGGAAAGTTGGACAACAGAAAAAGATTTTCTGACTATACCTGAACAAATCTCTTTATTGCAGTTTGCAAACAAATCAATTCTAAATATTTGAACTGACTGTATTTAGGATCCAGTTTATTTCAAATTCTCCAGTTTATTTCAAACTCTCCTGGTTAAAATTCCATTGCAATAATTCTAGTGCTTGGTGTGCTTTTCGAGCTGATTAGGTTTTTGTGTGTGATCTTTTGTTTCTAAGTTTCGGTTGTTGTTTATTGTTTACAATTTTGTTCTTGCCATGGTTCATTTGCTAGTTCTTATTAAAGTTCTAGATGCAGTTCTATTCAAATTTGGGTTCCTATTCCGGTGGAATTTCCGTCTGTTGGCCAGGTTAAAGGCCAGTATTTTCCAGATGACGGTAAATGTTATAACGGACACAGCAAACCATGCAACAACTGGTAGGTTTATCAACAGGAAGGAACTAAGGACTGATAAAATCAAGTGTCACTTCCGATGGTTACGACTGGAAACCACAACGGAAAAGTGACTGCATTATTTATCATTGCCCCGGGTGGACGAAATCCTCAACATCGAGAATTGACAATGTGGTGAGGATTTGGTGAGTCACCCCACAAAGACAAAAAGAAAGAAGGAGAAAAGAAAAAAAAGTGAAACAAGAGGTAAATTTTAAACCCCATTCCCTTCCCCAGGCAATTGACAACTTCCAATTTTGTTGGCATATATCACAATTTACACACATTTGAGAAAGTTGCATGGAATAATGCTGATGTTTCAATGAAAAACGATTAACATAAATATTGTCAATTATTGTTTAAGACTTAAATTTGCATTTGCATTACGGAAAAAGTGTGCACCATATTTGTGAGCTACTTTTGTAGTGCGATGGATTGTTATCTGAATTTCCAGCCCTGTAATTGCATTAGTTTTGACACCAGTTGGTAGAAGAAAGATGCATAAGATGACAGTGATCGATTGCAAGGAGGGTGATGAGTAAAAGCAGATTAGGAATGTCAGAAGAACAACTGTTACAAAACCTCAGGCGTTATTATTCCAAACCCGCTTTTCTTTTTCTGGCCAAGTGAACTTGACAGATCCTCCAGAGACAGAGAGACAATTGACATACGACCGCTTAATCGGCCCGATGGGTTCTATTCTTGTCGCATCTCGTAACGTGGAAAGTCACATGATTCGTTCTGACAACAGTTGACGGGCCAGACATGGAAATATGCAGGCTCGTTAAATGTGAAAACTGAAAACGGTCAGAGACGTGGTCATGCAATGATGGCTGTAGTTATATGTTATGTTGTAAATTATGTAGTTAATTTTTTACATGTACACATTAATTATAGTACCCATTAGCACTTGTATTACATTGTACTACACTGTATTTATTCCTTGATGAATGTATAAAATTATAGAGTGCTGGGGCGGTTTGGGGCGGTATAAGCTAACAGGCAGGGCGATTTGGGGCAGTACAGGGACGAACAAGTTAATAAGGTTTATCTGAACAAAATGCCGCTGTTTCTCTTTCAGATCCCTCCAAAACAACCTTCAATTTTCCCCTTATAAGGCAAATTTACACAAATTCAAGTTTCATTCAACACATCGAGGGCTAGGTACTGTTTAACTTGGCAGGAGGGATGACGTACACGTACATATCCCAAGGTAAGCGCAATACAGGCTGGAGCATGTGTTGTTCATATTATGCACAGGTATATGCTGCATGCTGTGAGCTGCAGGCTGTATTACAGGTGCATTGGGTGTAACCGCATATGTATATTGTGTACATGCTGTGTCATGCACTTGAGGTAGGACTAGTACCAGACCTGTATTACTGGACTCAATGGAATGTACTGGTACATGTACATGCACAATAGAAGGAATTGGTCTTGCGTGAGTTAGTGATTTACATATCTGGGTTTATGGACTAGTATGATTTTATCAATTCATTTGAGGACAGTGGATTTAGATCCGGGTAGGAGCTAGTTTATTGATTTTTTTGATGTTTTGTTTGAATCAGATCTGTTTCAAGTTACTTTTTTTAAGCTGATTTACATGTGTACCAACTGACTCACAAAGAAATTTAATGGGGAACAGTGTCTTGATTTTATAGCCGAACAAGACAAAAACAGGTTGGATGTGAACCTGGGCTAAGTGGTTTGATTGTATACAGACTGCCCCCCCCCCCCCCAAAGTCATTTCGAAGTCAATTTGCCACGTAATGTTGTCAGGAACCAGGCAGGAACCCTTTCCTTCATTTGAGAAAATCTAGGAATATGCCTCCTTCCAAAACCTGACTACTGAATTAACAGAAATGTCCATGCCAGTGGGATTCAAACCAAGGCCACAGACTTTTGAATGCAACACCCGAGGATGAAACTGCAATTGCATATATCCATTTACTGACCACTGACCAGCTGCATGCTGACCATATCTTTGGATGTGAGCAGTTTTATGGTCCAATTTCTGCATCTGCAACACTTCATTAATAGCCTTACTTAGAACTGAATTCTGCGTATACATGACAGATGGGCCTTCACAGGTATCAATCATTTTTTTCATGTCAAGCCTTGCATAATTTGATAGGACAGCCGAAAAACCACACAGAGCATGCATTCTGTCAGCTGGAATCCTGCGGTGTCTCGGCCCAGGAAGCATTCGGCAACCACAATATATACGCTTGTGACATCCGACAGACAACCAGCCAAACCCAACCGTTACCCGGCATCCAAGAATTTCTCCCGCAGGTGAAGGTGACTGACCAGCGGTGGTGGTCAGACGTGCGGCATCGCTGAGGGGGGATTTCCAGAGAAAAAGTGACCGAAGGGACAAGCCACATGTTGAGACTTTCTGAGACAAACAGTGACAAATTAATAAGTCACCGCATCAAAGGAATGCCATATGTGACAAGGCTGAACTAAAATGAAGTCGTGAACTTGATTTTCATTTCTTATGAAATCAACCATGTCGGGACGAGGAAAAGTACATATAGAACAAATTATATTTTTTTTCCCAGTTTCAGTTCCTTGTTCACGCTTCTCGATTTCATCAGAATTAAAATTGAAAGACGCACCGAACCTAAACTGAAACTTTTGGTCTAAGTAATTTCACTTGTGTTATCGAATAATGGAATATTGAATGTTTTATTTTGCTTCCTGCTTGCAAATACACTTGTTAGGAGAAGTTAGAATTTCTCTCTTCTTATATCGAATCAAAATGAAACAATGCTGGCTAACATGTCATATTAAACCTTTAAATATGAACAAAAAAAGTTATGTTAACAAAAAATGTCAATATTATAAAATGAGTCACACATGGCAAGATGAGTTTGTTGTCAAATTGCGTGCTATATTTTCGCCCTGTTTTGAGGATAAAGTGTTTAAAATATGTCAAACAATACCCTAAGACACTGAGCACACCAGAGTGACATGTACATGTGTACTATGTACTTGACTGGGGACAAGGTCAATGTTTTCTGCATTTAATCAAAATGTCCTTCAAGGAGAGGCTTCAGGGGATTACACTATCCCAAAAAACATCTGAACTGCTGACACGAGGAATTCCAGCAGATGAAACGTGACAAGCCCTTGCGCTTCGTTGTCTCTAGTCATCATAATGCGATATGACAGGGGCTTCACAAATACCCAATTTATAGCAAATCCAGAGAGAAAAGGGTCTGAACAAAAAACTTGTGAAATCTAAGACTGCCGGGTCTGAGGGGGAGATTAGATCGAATGCTTCTCCGGAGGGGAAATCAATCTGCAGGAGTTCTTGAACTCAGTGGAGGAGTGGGGCTGGAATGCCGGACACTTCGCGTGGGTGAACTGGAGGGTTTAGCGGGGTATTTTCCCGAAAATGTGAGATATGAAGTTTATTATCTATATTTGGCATGAAGTTGAGGTGTAGAAAGAATTACAGTGAGTAACTCTAAGTGTGCAAAACGTGAACCACGGACTTCGCAGGACTTGTCCCATCAGTGGAAGTTAACTGTTTGCTCAGAAACGCATCAAGGATTGTGTAAATTCTCACTTTTGTTCCATATGGCAACTCCACACGAAGAGAAAAGATAAACTAATTCTTTTAAAAGGGGACCATGGTTATAATTGGGGAAAATGGAAATAATATATAGAATTATATAATATATAATTATAATGGGGGAAAAATGTTTGGAAAATGGAAATATAGAATGGCCAAGATATAAATTGAAAAATAGGGGCAGTAAAATAAAACTGAAGTTTCTGATCCACATACATGTAGCAAGCAAGCAAGCAATCAAGCATTGGATTACCTTTCTTGTGATAAGGCCCAAAAAAAAAAGTCTCCGGTTTCTGGTATGGAGCTTGTCCAAAAAGTGGTGTGGCGACGCGGTTGTTTTTTTTTTTTACCTGACTTTTTTGCTTCAAATGTCGGCTGATGACTGCAAATGGTGCACGACCAAACTTAGTGCAAATATATGGGAGTCCAGAGAGGCCACATAAAGCTTATTCTCGATCATAACCCCATCTAAAAACACGTTAAAATTGTGCAGCAGCAGGATTCCAGTCAAACCAGTGAGTTTGGCGGTTTTGAGACATCATCTTTCATTGAAAAAAAACTTTTTCATTTTGCCGACGCGCAACCGGATACTTTTTTTTTTGGGCCTAATGGGCAATTCAACGACTACTCATGTTACATTTGCGTAACGTGAGTAACAGATTTTGTGCGTCTTGTTTATCATACATAACACATTTTTGTGGATGTCATCTTTGGTGCTCAGGTAGGTCTAGGTCTGCTCTATCTACCATGTCGATAACAGTTATTAAACCTTTTCAGTAAGGTAATTACAGCCCAAGGAAACTCAAAAGTACGTGAGTAATATAACCATGGAATTTCCCTAATGCCTACAAAACTGTTAACTTGTTTCAATTGCTGATTGATGTAAACCGGCAGTTCATGCCCGTCAACACATGATAAACTAGGATCATCGACTTCCTGGGCATGAAGGTTTTACCTTTAAGTTCAAATCTCTAGCGACTCCTTGTTGTGGTTTGGTAGGTTTGGTATCGTGAACTTCCAAAATTGATGAGTTCAGTCTGTGGTTGACTGGAAATGTATTGTTTATATTACTGGGGCGATGGTACTTGGCCAGGCCAGAAATGGGTTGAAATGAACACCTTGACATGCCGAACATTGATAAAGACTTATATTTTGGTCACATTTCACTAGTGTGTTGGCGCTATGTTATGTTATGTTAGTAAACTTTTTGTTGTACTAAATTTAATGAAAATACTTGTGAAAACTGCAACCAATGTTATAGCTTGATTACAAAACTAAGTTTGACATAATTATTGTCCGTGATTTTTAGATTTCAGACAAAAATATCTCACCTTGACAGTGGAGTCTGCATCCAACAAGACGTTTTCTAGCTTCAAGTCTCGGTGAACAATGTTATTCTGTAAAGAAATAAACAGGTATTGCAATTTCTTTTAGGTATTTCAAAATAACAAATACTTTAAATATAGCATTAATATTGTCCACAAACGGAATGTGCAGTATAACCAACCCAATTTTTGAGGGTGCTAATTTTGTTTTTCACTTTATTTTTTGATTATTCAGTCATTATTCTTGACTATGCAAATCAGAATTCTGAAAAAAAAAATGTTTAAAGTTGTAAAAAAATAGGATTTTTTTCCCTATCATTTGGGAAATTTCAGGACAGTTTTGCTATTGAAAAATTGTGAAGGCTTTAATTATTACAGATCCCCTTTGGTGTGTGTGTGTGGGGGGGTTGGGGTTGGCGTAGGGCCTAGAGGATTTGGGGTGTGGGGATGGAGGTGGGGGGCTCCAAGAAACCACATATTTCTCAGTCCCTTTACCTTATGCAGGTAGTGAACAGCGGACACAATCTGCCTGAACAATCTCTTGGCCTCCGTTGCTGACACTTTACCATCGTTGATGTAGTCATACAGCTCCCCGCCTGCGGCATGCTCCATCACCATGATGATCTTATCTCGGCTCTCAAATACTGTCCACAAGAGATGGGAGAAGAAGATGAACATTATCACCAAGATTCAAAATTACAACATGTATCACCAAGAATACCATGCAATGTACATGTAGATCTGTCTACGGTATTTCTGTAAAGGTGTAAAATAAAATTTGAATGGACAACTTTGAGTATAAAATAAAACAATTTTTTTTTTGTAATAACAAATATACATGCAAATCAGAACGGGGGCTCAAACCCTGCGCACACACTTATTTTTTTCCAGAAAAGATACTTAAGCAGAACATTTGCATATATATCAAACAATACAAATAAAGGTTCAAACGTAACAGAATGAACATTCCTAATAAAATTAATAACAATCCCCAAATAAAATGATAAAGAGTGTAAAAAGAACCCAAAATAAACTCTTGGGTGCACCACTGCCTCAATTTAGCTGTAAAATCCCATGTTTGAAATTTCATAAAAATTCAAACCAAAAATCTTTTGCATCCAACAATCATTCAAGCTTTGTCCAGTGTGTCAAAAAAAGGCTCAATTAATGTACCAACAACCTTGACAATAAAACTGTCACAAATAATCACATAATCTTTCAGAATGGACCTGAAATTCATGCAAATTTCTTGAACTGATAGGGGTGAGGAGGGAGATTGCAAATTTAACTTCAAAACATTCTTTAAAATGTGTTGCAAGGGGGACAATGAATTGTTTAAACTTTGTCTGTAACCAGGGAAACCCTGAGTTACTGTTTCAGCATCAGTTTCCGAGTCACTGGGTTGGATAACCTGATTTCAGTAAACAAAACCTGAATGTGTACACAACAAAACAACACCAGCGTAAGCAAAGCCCACCACTGTCCCAGAAAAAGGGAAATCGCTGACACTTTATTGTCTACATTACCCGGTACTAAGAAGCCCATGGAGGTTATAAACACACTTGATGATAATATTTGAACTAAGGGATTATCTCATGTCATGATAACCAAGGGCACCCATGTAAACAACGCATGAGCAGAAACGTGCTACAGGGACCAGTGTGCAAATGTCGAAGAGTACACATAGGAGTACACAGACTGTGTTCATAGCAAGCCTACGTAAGCATGTACACCGAATGACATATTGACGACCAAATCAAGGTCCAACTCCAAGTACTGACGCAAATTCTGGACTTTCCATGATATCAGTACACGATTACATGCGCAGAATTGGGTCACTGACACAAGACAAAAAAGGATATAACTTCCACCAACATTTCCTTGAAAATCTTATAAGAAAATACAGTGAGAATAAACTGGGTATTTATTTGACAGGGAACGAGGTATATTATATGCAAATTCATCGAATGAATTCCCTTGACATCAGTAAACAATCAAAACACTGCCACTGACCACACAAGACAACTTGGCCACCAACCTCCAACAACAGTTCCTTGAAAATCTTATATAAGAAAGTACAGTGAGAGGAGTTCACAAACTAAGTATTTTGTTTTTCAAGGAATGTGGCGACAGAGAACTGGGGTTAATGACCCAGTAAACAAAGACGTTGATCTGAATGACAACATGAAACTGATAGTGCTTGCTCCCCCATGAAGTGCTGTCTAGCTGTAACATGAGGTAATCTGTGGTTTCACACATGATTAAAGGTTGAATAGTAAACTTAAGACAAAAATGAGAAAGCAAGCTGTAAAACAAATTACCCCCTGGAGATCCAAGTCCAGATCAAATGTGGTAATGTGGGTATTGAATGTTTGAAGCTACAGCCCTGTTGTGCATCATGTGCATTTGTGCACCAATTTGTGATCATAACCAAATTATACAATATTGCAAAAGTCTTGCTCTAAAAATCAAGACTACTAAAATTTGGTTATCTCCCAAAAATCAGTTTAGAGTCAACTTCAAAAATAGTCTTCTGAAACTGCCCCCAAAATATATTTTCTAGAAATTCCTGCATCTATGGTTTTAACTTTCTAATATTGGAGTCAGAGGTGGTGCAAAATAATGCAGTATAGTGAAAATACATGTGTAAAATATAGCTCTGCTGAGCAAAAAAAATCAATCAAAAGCATGACAGTTGCTCTCAGGTTAAATATTTGAGCAGGGAACCACCCATAAACAGTATTTTGTTTCATATAAGATTTTGGCTGATAACATATTCATGAAGCTCTTCTATTTATTTTTTCGGTTGCGTGTCTCCCAAATCTCTGAGCTAAGCCACATCATGAAACGTGCTTAAAATGGAATGGAGCGGAAAAAAGATTCCCGCTTTGTCTGTGATAACCATCGTTTAGTACACACAGGGAAATTATTCGGAAGCCAAAAATTAATCCCTGGTTATCTTAATTCCGTGCAGGATCTGCCTGTTTGAGCAAGCTACCAGCATTGCTCCCATGCCGAGAAAGCAGTCTCTAAACAATTATTATGTTGGCATTCCGAGAAAGATTTTAAAATAGAACCCATCTCCAACAAATAATCCCTGGTTATCTAATAAATTCCATGCAGGATCTGTGTGTTTGAGCAGGCTACTGGCGTATCTTTCAGATTAAAAGTAGGCATGCTGGGACAGCAGCCTCAAAACAGGTTCGCATTCTAAGAAAGAGGGTTTAAAAATAGGACACAGCAAGAACAAGGATTATTTTAAGCCTTAATGGTATAAGCTTTAACTTGTATTAGTTAAAATTATACACACAGACAAAACTTGTTTGTCTTGGATTATTTGTTTTCCATGGTCGCTAAAAAATAACCAAAATCTAAAAATAACAAATGGTAAAAATAATCCTGGTATGTTTGAAAAGACATTTTTTTGGAAACCACAAAATTCAACGAGTAACACTTTGGAATGTAGCCATTTATCACCTCCATCAGTCAATCAAAAATTCCTTCTTTATAAAAATTGACAGATGGAACAACAAGTTGGGTTTTTTTCATGACCAGTTCCTGCTTTTGGGCGTTTTCATTTCATTACTCTTGTGGTTTGGAGAGAGAAAAAAACGTTAGACGGATTTAGTCTGTAGCAATTTATTAACAATGGTGTTATTGACGTTCGATTTGATTGTGTGTGCAAGCACAATGCCCATGTCAAGGGTTTTGGGGTTTAGAATGGACCAGGAATGGACCCAGCCTTATCAGGCCACCTGATTCTGATTCCGTTGAAGACTTTTTAATACTGAACAAACAGTTTTGAAGAAAAAATGCTAGATCACTCTGAACCAGTTCCTGTTTGAAATTGAAAGTATGACACGAGAAATCAGTACTACAATTTCTGTGTGATTGAGCTTGGAAGTGAAAACAGTTTTATAGCGAGGGTTTGCTTTTAAAAAAAAAAAACGGTCTGAATGGTTAGAGCTGAAAGTGCCAAATATGGGCTCAAAGATTAGCAAAATCAAAACTGATATTATCAGCAAATCAATTCATCTTGGAAACTATGGATTTTGTTTGTAAGGGGAGAAATTGTTACAAAAAGCAATGAATAATTATTGGCAAAATCTAAACTGAAATTGGCAAAATCAAAACTAGACTATATAGATTTGAAAAGATGAGTATCCGGTTATTTTTTTTCTCTAAAAAGCTGGCCTTTAAACGTTTTCTGGGGAATTATACAACCTATCCAAGGGCCTCAAAGATGCAGACGGCTTTCAAGAAGAGGAAAATCAGTTATACTATAACACAACTCCTTGATTTGCAAAGCAAACTAGTGAGGAAGTATGTCCCACTCCCTCTTCTTTAAAAACTAGAAGGTTTTTTTGTGGGTCCCCCCCCCAAAAAAAACTCAGTTAACCAAAAATATTGGTGAATACAAAACAGAATCAAGAACTTGTTGACCAGAACAGCGTGAGTATTTAGGACAGCTCAATGACGTCAAGCGGCTCATATCAACGTAAATGACCATGTCCGGTTAACAAAAGAGCTGCTTTAAACTTAAGACGCCGTCGAAAACAACTTTGGAAAGTGTCGAGACAATGGCAGCCACTTCGGCATTAAATCGGCCCATAAAGAGCAGATGAGTGTTGGGTAGATATTGTGCGTCAAACCTGAATGACATTTCTGCCTACCGGACAAAAGCACTTTATTTGAACATGTAGACATTTCGCAACTGCACATGTACAAGTTAAGCTCATGACGCTATTAAGACATTTTGTAAAGCATGTGTACTATTAACACAACTCAACTATGATTCCAGACAGAAAACGTCAGAATGTCAAAAAAGAAGGGGCTGAGAAGGGATAGAATGTATGGGATACATGTTATGCCCATGACAACAATAGGCATGGGTTTACAGGTAAAAAGTCCCACGTACACCTAACTTGCAGACCGTATCGGAGTGGCGTGATTCGCTATGCCTGATCTGCCTTCTTTTGTACAGCGGATCTCAATAGGATCCGGTTCCTAATCAATGCAGGTGGCTTGTCAATAATATGGGTGGAGTGTAGAAGTGCACTTAATAGCTTTTTGGAGGGCTCGTGTTCGGTCTTTACTCACGCAATTTTGTCCCCATGCATTAGTTAAACTGCAATTTAATTTTATCAAAACTAGCTTTCGTTGGAGGTCTGATTTTAAATTTGCCTTTAATGGGCAATTTATGACTTACACACCAACATGAAATGTTTGTCGGCCTTTTGAGAAATTTCTTTTGCTAGCATCAATTAACCTATCGCGGTAGAATCGGGTCAGCGCAGCTTGTGAAATATTGTCCAATTGCATGATATTCAAATCGATGCTAAACGCGCAAAATCCACAATATTCCATAGGGTTGTCTAAGGGGTGTGGCTAACTCGCAAACAGCGATGGGTCAATTGCTGAATATTGGGTCATTATACGGAAGAAAATGACTGAATATCATGTGACACGCATAAAAATTGAATGGTCTGTCTGATTTGACGTTAATATTCATCACTTCTAGTTTTACTTGTTTATCAATTAATCAGGTATCCAACTTTGCATCAAACAACTACAAGGCATGATCTATAACTTTGACACAGAATGCGAACTTTCTTCCCAGTTACTTCTCCAACATTTTAGTGGT